GAGGACAGTGTCATCTCCTGAACCATCACGCAATCCGGATTCAGAGTAAGATAAATGACATGCACTGACAGAATCTAATTATCTTTTCTTAATGGCTGATATTGTATGATATCTCCAGCCCGAGACCGGTTGAAGCTGAGTCGTGGTGGCTTTTAGCGAGCATGAAAACTCAACCTCATGAGAGATCTTTCCAAGCAGCGTGAAATGGAAGCTTTGCCACCGTATCTGGCCTCTCAGTGGATGATGGTCATGGAATCTCGTGTTATGATGGGCTTATTGATCCGGGGGCCGTTTGAACTGTTGCTTGGGGGTGTATCCCGTATCACGCATAAAGCATCGGTATTGATCGTTGCACTTTCTGCCGGACCGAATGCCTCTCACCGGTGATGGATGGAGGAGGAGTGCGAGGCAGGCGAGGGTGAAGAGAGGGAGGTTTGTTAAAATAACAATTGCAAACTGCGATCCACTGCATCTAGGTTTGTCTTTAGTGAAAAAGGGATGTCTATTTAAATACAAATCTAGTCAGGGATGTCTTGATAATCAGATAAATGGAGAGAAATAAAAAAAGAATCAAAATCCACATTCACTGAGTAACTCCTGATTCATGATGGCAGGAGTAAATCTCACCTATTGATTCTGTGTTTACAAGGCCATAAACAGTCACAAGCCTCACTTAACAACGCTAAAGAGCAGTGTAGCAAGTCGGGGATGGAAGAGCTGTGCGGATACGTGGATGAGGATTCTGGGTTATTAGTTGGAGAGTGAGATCTGGGTCTGCCTGTAATTATTTTTAGCTCCGTTTGATGGAGGAGGTGTGGGGAGCACAGATGTGTCTGAAAGAACAATTAACGTGTGTCAGAGTGCGTATTAGAGCCAGAGAGAAGTTTGAAGGAGGTGGGAGAGGGTGGGAAGCAGTTTGCTCAACAAATCAGACATCTGGAGGAGAGTGTTTCATAATATTCCCTTTGTCTGGTATATACAGGCTTCTATATAGAAATAGATATATGTATTATATCAATAATGGTTTAGTGAGATGAAAATGAGACGATAGTGGATGACGGGGTGAACCATTCAGTTCTGATTAGCTGAAATGTGCCAGTTTTGCTCTCAATATTTTTGTATCAGCGATGGATTAAATGACTTAATAATGTGAATTGTGAGCTGACTCTACAGCCTCAGGTGTGCGGTGTTTTTCAGCTCATCGTTTTGGTCCTAATGCCCGCAACTTCACTCGTTCTGGTTCACTTTGTATCCAGCTGCAGTGGGCGGCTGTTTCCAGTGAAAAAAGATCTTCGCTAAAGCCACTGCACACTACAGGTAGACAGGTGGACAAGGTGAGCCACTGTCCTGTGAGCATGGAGCATTTGGCACCTAAAGCCAGATATTTCTCTCAGGAGTTGGTGCCAGTTAAACCAGCGCTTAAAGGAGAGAGCATATAAGCAGCTACTGTGCTTGCCAAAACGTTTTAAAGTGAAAGTATGCTAATGTTGTGTTTACAACTTGCTCCATTGCTCTTAAACAAAACATCAACTTATAATTTTAAAGACTCAGTTCGTTATTGTCATTATTCCTGAAATTTTCGTTCATTTAACATTTGCTTGTTTCATTTTCCTGTTCTTTTTTTTTTATGTTTTTCATTATTGGTGAGATGAAAAAAAAAGCAATTTGAAGACATTGCTTTGGGGTTTGGAAAATTGCAATTAGCATTTTGCAGTATTTTTCATCATTTAATAGACAAACCTATAATGAAAATAACCATTATTATTATTATTTTTATTAGGTTGGACAGTGGCTGCTGCTTGTTGTGTGCCTCAGAAATAAGACACATGCATCATGCTGTAATCCAGTTGGGAGAAATGTGTTTGCCTTTCCAGTCCAAATAGCCCTCGGCTGCTGGAGGCTGTGGTAGCCTTGACCCTATCACTGGTTAAAGCTTACAGACATAGGAATATAGATAAATAATTGATTGGTTCTGGGTTTTGCTGGGGGCTTGCGCAGAGAGGAAAACAAAGAATAGAAAATAGACTGACAAGTATAAGTATGGAGTATGTTTTATATTCATATTTCTAAGAAGACAGATATATATCACACACACCCCCCCCTTTTTTTTTCATCATCCCCTCTGTCCTGTCATCTGTGCCTCTTCCTCTAGCTCTCTCTTCCTGTTTCTCCCCTGTTTTGCCTCCTCCCCCGTGAATCTTTTCCCCACCGTGCTTGTGTCTTGCTCTCGCCTCCGCTCTCTGTCTCTTCTCTTTGTCTTTTTCCCCTCCCTCTATCTCGCTCTCTCTCACTCTCATCCTTCACTCCTGCTGCTGAGGGGGGAAAAAAAAGTCAACATGCTCTGCTGAAACCAGTTGTTTTCTTCCTCATTTTCTTTCCTCCTCCTCCTCCTCCTCTTATTCTCCACTCTCATCACTGCAATCAAGACCAACACACCCCCTTCTGCTGAGACTTCCAACCCCCACCTCCTCTTGTACAGAGTGCGCTCTCGACCGAGGCAGAACCGACAGAGGGGGGGAGTTGGACAAACCAGCTGAGAATTGCCTCTCTAACGGCAGCCTCTACGTCAGAGAGGGACGCGGTTCACATCAGCGGATACACACTCAGACACAAAGACACCTGGCTCCGGTTTATTTGCGTCCCCTCTCTTTCTTTCTCTCTCTCTCTCATTTTCCCCGTCTTGCTGCCAGACTGGAGAATAAACACACCCACGCACAAAAGGCAGCCGAATCCTGTTTTGAACCTTGATTTTTTTTTTAAATTTCTTTGTTAATGCCACACCCTGGGCTTTTTCGGGTTGTAGGGATGTTTTTGTGAGCCCATGCCACAGGTAATCTCGCACGTTTGACAGGACGCACTTCTTCAAGATGAAGAAAATTTGGTCCAAGAAGAGATTTCAGGTGAGTTTGCTCCTTTATGGAGAAGAAACCACATTTAATGATGGTGTTATTTTTCCATATGTATGTTGTTTTTCATTGGGATTAGTAGGTTTTTACATATTGAGATGTCATGCCACACCCTTCACCTGATGATGAGATGCAAATGTGTTAATTTGTAGAAGATAACGCTGGTAAAATAAACATTTTAGGAAGTATTTTTAGGACATATACTAAAAACGACCTAGCATTCAATTCTGCTGGGGAAATGCTCATGGAGCAAATCTATGGATAGATGTGAAGCTTGCTGTTTGTTGTCTAATATCTGTCGACAAGTTAAGACAGATCAGGACAACCTAAGAAAGAAAGACAGCCCAGGAAAACTGCCTGCCAGATAGAAAATTGTATTTTTGCACAGTCTAAAAAATGAAAATTAAGACCGAAACTAAAATGGCACAGTAATCCACTTTCACGACATCAAACCGTCCAAATTTCTGCTCTGCTCCCTCTGTGTCTTTGTGCACATTCTGTGTCGTGAAATATGCATCTTGCCTTGGCAGTCATGACAGTTTTGTTGTTTAATAAGTAATTCATATAGCAGGTTCCCCAAATTCGGAGCATATGAAAAGTGTGTCAGTAGGCTACACTCCGTGGAGACACGAGAATCAGGGCAGACAGTCACAGCGGCTCTGAAGTGAGCAAAGCTGGTTTCTGATGGTCGCTTTGCCTCCTCTCAATTCTGCATCAATATCAAACCCTGGAGATGTGTCCTTTTACTTTCAGCAGCAGATTTGTTGGAATCATGCTAGTAGGATTTGGATTATACCCATAGAATCTTTTTTTTCTTTTTGAAGTATTTGCCAAATTCAGCCTTTTCAAAAGGATGCTGTTCGTGGCTGTGTTCTGCTGATATGATTGCCTCGAGGCCATAACAATGGAGATCACGACAACGGTGGAAGCTTCTAGTCAGAGTCTTTCAAACAACAGTTACCACCAGGCAACAGTTAATCAAATTGCCTGACACGGAAAGCATTAACCAATGGGGAGTGCGCAGCAAAATGTAGGGGGAAATGAGTGTGAAATGAGTCATTTCAGTTTGCACTTTTGCTCCTTTCCATTCGCTGCAAAGAAGTGAGTCATTCTGAGGAGCTCTCCTTGGTGCTGATTGACAGACTGTCCAAGAAGCAGTTTCAACAACTGCTTTATCAGCAGGGACACTCACTTAAACATGGCCTGGAAAGTTTGTCAGATATGTTTCATTTTATTATAGATACAGCTGGGTGATATTTCAATATTATCATTAATGGACTGGTGGTGTAATCTTATCGCGATGATAGGATCACCTCATGTTACAGATTTTCAGAAGTCTGTTGTCTAGATAGTTTTTTCTACCAAATATACCAGTTCCATCTTCTCACGTGTGAAAATGTGCTGTGTGTTGGTCTTATAGTAAACCAAAAGTAGACCAAATTTCTTTGGTATATTTGGTATTGGACTTGTTTTTATCATTTGTGATATCCGAATGATAAACGAATGATTAATGAAATACTTTATGGATTCAAAGTAAAAATGGATGGGAAAAATTAAGAGTTAGGATATTGATCCAGGGTCACATTTCGCCAAACAATCCGCGATTTGCAACATGACATCATTTGCCATCCTGCTCATTTTGACAAGTCACTACTTGTGTCCTGTGTAAGTAGAACTCTGGATTTGTTTTAGACTGTCGTTCGTGAAAGTTGAATTCCCTCTATGAAATGGGCCTCTGGACAGGACTTTCCAACTTATCTGCATTTTTCTTATTATAAATCTAAACTTGAACTCAAAAGTCCACTTACTGGCTTTTGTGGATATTCAATCAGAGGTCACAGTCTATCAGCAAATGGAGAAACATGAGCAATGATATCCGGTGTTTCTTGTTGTGCAGTTACGATATGGTTAAAAGTCAATCAATCATAAGTGAAAGATCATGCTACTATTCACACATTGTACTACTTAGAGTTGAGGATGTGACAACAGCAGGACTTGTGGGTAAAAGGGACCTTTTGTAGTGTTTTATGTGAAGCATAATCTTTGCCTGAGTTCACTGTTGAATAATGCATTGTACTTTGTATCTTGTTTCAGAGAACTGGGCATTCCACACGGACATTTGGCAGATTTACCCATGGTGTGTTGTCAGTATGAGCTTTACACCGATTCTCTTGTATTCTATTGTCTATTCTTTTCTTTTCCGTTGAAAATCCAGAGTAAAGTAGCTTTATCCTTTTTTTTTTCCTCAGGCCTTTTCCTTTATCCTCCAACAGCATGTGCTTCACTTTGATTTATTCCTCTAATAACTCTTTTATATATGAAAGTTGCTGTTGTAGAACATCTATATTGCTTGAGTGTATTTATGTTTTTACTGCCTGACTGCTTACAACGACAGTGGGTTTTATTATTGTACATCCACCCCCACAATGCAATATTTTAGTAATCACGCTGTTGCCTCTCTGCATAAAATCCTTGAGTGAATAATGTCTGGCCTCAGTGGTTTATGGGAGAATATTTGTCAATATTTAAGCAGGCTATGATCGAAGCCAAAACCGAGGCTAGATGCACTCGAATCCAAATCATATTTACATTAACGTCCAGGCTATACAGTGAGAAATAAAGTATATTTCCTCATAAGTACATCGCTGAATCGATTTCCCCTCGTCTGGTGTGCAAGCTATTTAACTTCATTTGATACAGATGGGTGGATCTACATACCCACGCCCACGAAACCACACACATGCAGCTCGCAGTGTAATGAGTTAATGGTGATTGTTCATGTTCCACTAGCTTTCTTACCTTCTGGAATGATCTAATCAGGATCTGACTTGATGCGAGGCGCGATGAGGTGCAACCTGCTTTGTGGTTGTCGCTCCTCCTCCTCCTTCACGAGCTCTCTAACCAGTAAACATATCTGTCAGCCACCCAGCAGTTTGGCTGGTGATTTTTAGACTCTAATGGGTACGAAGAGGATTGGTCGTGTGGGTGAGAGAGATGGTGGTTTCCATAGTAACGGTGCTCTCCCGTCTGCCCTCTCTTGCTGCCACTATGGAAGCGAAGTTTTCCGCTCCTGCCGAAAGCAAAGCTATGGTAAACCTGCCTGTCTTGATTCATCTCCTGCCTGTGTTTTGTTTTTTTTCTCCCTCTCTCTCTCTCTCTCTCTCTTCCCATCCATCCCTCACTGACTTCATCTGTTCACCCTGCTGATGTAACGTGATCTCAGCCACAGAGATGTGGTTTATTATGACCCTGTCTGTGGCTTCTGTTCCCCTCAGTCCTTTTCCCTTTATTGTGTTTTCTTGCTCTTAATATTTAAGCTTGCTCATGATATTTTATGTGTCCACCTTTATATTTGTTTTTTCTTTCTGTTTTTGAATGTTCTGTATAAAACCAAGACCACAGTCAAGTGATTATCGTCCCTCTTTCTTTTTGTGGACATGGATTACGTTTTTGTGGTTTAAGTTTCATGTTCTATGAACCACATCTCCCATTTATCATGTAATTTTCTAAATGGCTGCCATTCTCTTCACTGCTCCACAGAAATATCAGTTTGTGTTGTTTTCACTCCCACTGATCGAGCGTTCATCCCATAATTTTGACCACAGTTCAATTTGGTTCTTTCGCTAAAATATTTTGAAAACAGAAAAGTAAATCACTTTTTAATACCTGCTATTTCTCTAACATTTGAATCCTCTAAATTTGCTTTGTTTAAGAGGTGATGTGTTTTTGAATCAATTAAAGTGGGGGAAAAAAAGGACAAAAAGAAACAAATTCAGCTTCATAAATTCAGCTCACCCTGCTGTTTTATTACCAAAGTCAAATGGATTCAGACCTGAGGGAAGAGCATTTATACATACCGCTCCCCTCCATGTATCAGCTGTGTATTTTTATAAGCCACAGCTGGCTTCATGTCACGCTCGAGCTTCAACCCATTTATTTCACTCTGGGGGCTCTCTGCGGCTCTTTTCAAGGACCCATCAAAGTGTTTGCTGCTAAGCAAATCTGAAGTGTCATTTTCACCCGGACTCTGTTGTTGTTTTCAGCCTCCTCTTTTCCTCCTCCACCTCAATTTCTCTCTTTACTGAATTTTCACCTTCCACCTTAACCCATCTGTGTGTTCCGCTGGTTTTTATTTCAGACTCTGAGACCACAGAGGATGAGACCACAGAACCTCAGATGGAAACCAAAGGAGGGCCCGGGAGGCACCAAGACAAGGCCGGAGGGAGAGGACCTTCAGGTATTTCATTGAAAATCTTTCAGATTTTTCTGTACACTTTCAGCGTCTTAGATTAGCTCTTCACAACTGACATTTCTGCTTTTTTCCTTTTTGAATTTATTTATTGTTAAAGCTGCAAACACACTTCCAGTCTGTGAGTTCAACATGCACATGTTCAGTAGCTCTGAACCCTTACTTATGAGCTGATAGTCAATATGATTTACTGCAGCAACAACATCACTGCCAAAAACACACTTCTACAAAATTATGATTCAGTGTGGATTGATAGATTTAATGGACGGTCGTTATCATCTTGGCCCAAGACGTGCGTTGGATGAAATCCGATACGGCAGAATGCATTAATCGCTCCTGGTATGATGCAACACTGTGACACACTGCCCTAGTTTCCAGCAGGGAACCTGTCTCAGGTCTGGATCTCACTATGTGCCTCCACAGGGAACGAGCACAGCCCAGAAAACTGGAGCTGATTCTGCTTATAAATGAGGCTGAAGCTAATGACGGTGATTATTTTTACTATATTGTGCTTTGCCAGTCTGATTTAATTAGGATATAAATGTAGAGTATTGAAAATTTAATACAATTATTTGCTGATTAATCAGTCAAAAGAAAAGAAATTGATTGACAACTAATTTGATCATGTCTTTCTTCTGGGGGGTGGGGGGGGTGGGGTCTCGGACTGTTGCCTGAACACAACCTGACATTTAAAGACATCACCTGGGAAACTATTACCCTGTTCAGACTGTCCTCTTAGGCAGCGAGTAATGATTATAGTAAAGATGAATCTGTCGACAATTTTTGAATCAATCTATTAATAATTTAGTCAGAAGTGTCAGAAATATTTTTATTTTCCTAGAGCATCTTCTTGCTTTCTTTGTCCAACAAACACTCCAATATATTCATTTTACACTGAGGTTAAAAAAAGCACAGAATCCTCACAATTGAGGAGCTGTAACTTTTGTATGATGGGTATTGCTTGATAAGCCAGTGAAATGATGAATCAGTTATCAAACTCAAAGTCAATTAATTTTCCTTTGGCGCTGTTATCTTGTCCAGGAGATGTTTTTAATCTCACTGAGGACCTTTCCTGGTTAAATAAAAGTTTTTTCTTAAAGACGGGAGGCAAAGAAATGTTGATTCACTCACTCTTGATCTCTTAATGTCCAAACTGCAAATGTAAAAAAGGATTTGATGAGCGGCAGGCATTAACCAATTAGAAGCTAATGAGCCTTTTCCTGTTAGTATTGCATAGATGAAAAGAATTCCCAAAAGAACATTTGCTCATTTGCTAAAGTGGTGTCGGTGCATTGGCGTCACAGAACCTGCATGCCCTCAGCACCCGTTCCCAACCAGGCAACAGGATGTCTGAATATAGATCAGAAATATTGACACCCTTCTCCTCTACCACAGAGAAATTTTATATTCTTCCCTCGCTTGTACAGAGTGTTTGCACTTTCTAAGCTTTCGTGTTGGCGGGCTGACTACACCCTCATCACGTCCCTCTAGACATAAGCAACAAAAAAAAAAAAGAAAAAAAAAGAGAATATCAGATGAGGTGATACATCATTTGTTCAAACAGACCCTGCTTCCTTCCACTGCATACAAAAGCTAGAAAGCTTTGTTAAAGGCAAACAAGATGCAATTTCTTCCCACATGATGTATTTCTGCAGAAGACTCATTTTAGTGTCACTCCAGATGGACCTTGTTTCGATCTTGAGGATATGTATGAGACAATGCTGTCTGTGAAAATTACACTCTCCATTAGCCTCACAACACTCCGGCGCTAAAAGCCTGATCCGCCTGCTCTGAAAGGTGGTGCCCAACCTCGCAGAGAAATGAAGCTCAATATGTCAAGGCCTTGAAGTGCGTAACATTTTCCTCTGTGGCTCTTTATAAAGATTTCTCTTTTTAATTTTTTTCATGAGGACCTGATGTAGTTTGTTTTATGATCATGTTGCTGAGTCAGTATCGTTTGTGATTGCAGTAGGAGTCTACGTTTTACACCCTCGACTCCATCGCCGTTTCAAGGTTTCCGTGGTGAATGAAAGATGCTGACTGCTCGTTGTTTTCGCTGCCAAAGCATTCCTGTCTCTGTCCCTCATCACTAAAATGTCAATCACTACCTGATTTGCGATGGGGGAGGATCGTTCTAAGTGGTGCACGCTCCACAACGTAGCGCTTACACTTTCTGTTTCATTTCCTGTTTTCAACCAATCAATAGACTCTTTATCCATCTTACCCTTTTCATGCTTAATGAGGTTCCTGCACTCCATTCTACCTCAGTCATTTTCTACCAACTCAGGATTCTTGCTCTTTGTATTGCGTCATCTTTCAGTTAATGAATTACTCTTTTTTTAAATGCTTTTTTATTTGGGCATTTTAAGGCATTGTTTGAGTATTACAGCCATTAAAGCAAAATGTAGGCCTCTATTACTTAAAAGCTGTTATGCATTTTATAGTTAGTAAAGAAAATATTAAAAAAAAAAAAAAAAAGTAGTATTTACAGTACAGAAGGGTAATTAGGAAGGGTTTTGGAGATATTCTACTTTTTACTTATTGTCACCAAATCCTACGAACGAACCAGATCCAACAATGAGCTGAAATGTTTCCTGTGGATCCAACGCCGGTGTGCCACAAACCTCCACATGGAGGAACATGTAGTAAAATGAAAGTATATGAGTACATATTTGTGACTTGTGTTAACGCCTGCAGTAGGAACCACTGGGTTTAGGCTTTAAAGTGCCATAGATGAGGCAGGAGAGGTGGAAAGTGTCGACCGACACATTTTTTCTTTGGTCTTTTCATGAGATTTGTTGACAGTAAGCAGAAACATCAATCCTTTAAATTCAGACCAGCCTGATTGACAGTTCAAAGAAGGTGGTGCTGTTTCAGGCAGTACACTGTGTGATAACTAAACTGTTCTCAAACATCTCTCTGTATCCCTCTGCAGGTGAGGGAGGACGGCTGATGGACTATAACCCAGATGCTTCAGATCGCAGGGCCACCCTCCCTGGCGCCTATGACCCTGTGGTGGAGCGAGAGCTCCGCACTTTGGGCTCCCGCCCTCCGGGGCCCCACTTGGACCCCACAAACCCAGCCAGGCAAGCTCTCGGTGGGGGTCCTGCTGAGGGGGCCCCCCCTGTCCGTCACCTGGGTGTGGAACCGCTGATCCGGGCGTCTCACGCTAACTTGGCCCGGCCTGTTCAGGGGTCAGAGGAAAGTGTTTCTGTAGGCAGCGACTACTATGGGAGCATGTTCAGCCTCTACAGAGGGAGAACATTTTCTATGCCGTTATAGCACATGGCTTTTTGATTTGAGGATTTCACAAAACAACAAAGACTGGCCACAAACTCCAAATTGCAAAGAAAACTGACACATAAGAAAAGACATTGTATCCTCCATAGACCCAACTCACAAAAATTGTATTATATATGTTGTAAATTACAAAATTATTAATTTTTTTCATTCTTATTTCACATATTTAAGCCTTTTTTCAACCAGTGTTGTTACTTCCCATTTTTATTTCGATGTCACACTTTCCTTTGACTTTTTATTGGTGTGAGTGTGGTTTGATTTCAACCTAACAAGTCTTAAAATATCATTGCTGATATTTCTTATAGCCATTAGAAAGGACACAATGGTACAACCTGCAGTTACATATTATTCAGCACTTCTGAAAACTGTGATTACTCTTTTTACCCACTGCATGTTTTCCAGAGCAGCCCCTCACTTTTGGATTAACACCATATCTTTATAGGTTTGCCGTGGCATGCATGGGTTGCTGGCTTTGGTCCAAGCTAATATTAGCATGAATATTCTCAGAAATTAATGATCATGTGATTCACAGGTTCTTTTTTGGCATGATATTTTTGAATTTGAAGTTAAAGCAGGGGCACCTTTCCTGGCATTTTGTACAAGTTCATGTTGTAAATCTGCAATTGTGTTGCTGCAACATCCTACAGTTTCCAGTTATTAGTATCTTAGAGTTTATTCCACTTCACCACAGTTGGATTAGGTTTTTGAGAAATCCTATATGTGGGAACATTATGTCTGTTATTTTTTATTCCTCTCTCTGTCATTTCATTTTACACTGTCTAATGTGTTGTTCTCTGAAAATGAGACACAAAAGAGCACAGACGATACACAAGGGACTCATTGGTAAATATGAAAACATAACAAAACAAAATGACACAAAGGGACATTCATCAGCTTTTCTATTACTCCTCCAACATCTATGGCAACAGCACCAGAGCTCTAATTTCACACCTCCATTTCCCCTCAATCCTCACCCCTCCAGGACTCAAACTGCTGACGAATCACAGGGGCTCTCCTCCCGTGTCCCCCTGTCTTCTCCCCAGCCACCTCCCACTACACACAAAAACAGCATCAGTACCCAAAACCAAGACCTGGATAAAACCAAACCTTCAGATTCCTGCTCTTCTAAAGCGGAACAGTCGGCTAATGTTAACAGTATTACTATGACACCCAAACTGGCTCGTGCAGGGCCCAAGATCTTTGACAAGGTGCGCGCTTTTGAGGAACGAAGGGCGAGCGTGGATCTGCCAGGAGGAGTCGGGTCGGTTTCAGGGTTCGGACGGGCAGCTTCCTTCGACTCGGACGACAGCGGAAAGAAGACAGGAGGCCCCAGCAAAGAGGAGGGCCGAATCCTGCAGGGCGCAGCTCAGAAGCGAGCAGTGTTCAAGCAACGGGCCTCTTCTTTAGAGGACAAGACGAGCTACTCCCAGAGGGTCCAGAGCTACCAGAGCAAGTTCGCCGAAGAGCTCCAGAGGATCAAGAAACTTGTGGGGAAACCGAGCTTGAAGAAGGCATATTCCACTGAGCAGCTGTCACAGAAAGAGAGGCTGACCACTGGAAAACTAGAGCCCATTCCTCCTCAAGTGGTTAAAAAGTTGGAGGCGAGGGAGCGAGCCTTGGAGGAAAGAAAAGTTGGAGGGAGGGAGGGGGACAGCAGACTGCAGATTTCTCCCCAGGCCCCAGGCAGAGATCTGGGCAATCAAAGTAACAACCCTGTGAAAGATAAGATGACACAGCCAGATTCACAGGGGAAAGCAGTGGACAGCTCATCGCAGGGAAGCACAGGGAAAAGCTCTGTTACCATGGCGACGGCACCAGTTCACCAGTTACCAGGGCAACCGTTGCCAACAGCCACAAGGACAAGCCTGACCAGGTTTGAAGAATATCTATACTATATGAATTTGTGTATTTTTAAAAAATGATATGATATCTGATTTTTTTGTATTTTCGTTGTCAGATTAGTAAGTTCCTCACAAAATTGGATACAGAATGGAAGATCATCACTTGACATGTTGTCAGTGTTACATAAGTTTTCTTGTCTTTGCACACAGGGAAAAACTACAAAGCTCTCCAGCTGCTGACAAAGACTCACTTGTTGCCACATCCCACAAATCCTCATCATCAAGAGACCTGGGGACGGACTCAAAGAGAGACACCAAGATGGACAACAAGACAGACCACAGATCCAACAGTCCCAACGGAAAGAGAGCATCCCAAGTCACTGTGAGGGAACTAGGGTCCCAATATCCACCCAAGCCCCCTCGGCTCACCCCATCACCCACTCCTTCCATCAGCCCCCTCCTGAAAAGGAGGAAGGCGGAGGTGGGGCGGGCGTCTCCGGCCTTGAAAGTGAACATCCCCACTATCCTGGTGGAGGATGAACCCATGGAGACGGAATGTGTTGCAGACAGGAGCAACGAGGAAAGCAGGACCAGGAGGAAGGAGGGGAGAGCGCGTAAGAGCAGGAGAGGTCGTTCTGCTCACCCCCGGTCTCCAGAGGAAGGTAGGACATATTTTATGATTGTTAATCAGCGTCTCTGTGAAAGTCTAAATCAGACCAAGCAGCAGCCACCACAGATGAATAATGAAGGCAATACAGAAGTGCCTGAAGACGTAGCTGCTGGCCCTGAAAAGACTGTCTGCACCAGAGTCGATGAGAAGATGAAAAACACCAAATCCATATTTTCCTATTTCTCTTTTTAGGTGGCATTTTTGCTTTGATTGACAGGTCTTTCAGGCTTCTCAATATAATGGTGGCTGTTACCTGCTTGACCCAACCGCTGTTATCTTCTTGGCCAAAGTATCAGCTACACAACATCCCTTCAAAAATCTGCATCCTAGACGCTATAACCATGTCTGTCTGCTCTGTTTGTGAACCCAGCATATAAACCAACTTCCTATAAGAATGTAAAGTAATAAGCCCAAGTGAGGGTCCCCTTGTTGGGGCTTGGATCTTAGGTTGCAAGATAAATTTGAGGGACTGCGAGATGATGGTACTTATGCAAATATGTATTTTAATCTTATGCTTCCTTTTTTTAATGTGAAATTATAGATAATTCATCTTTTTAGGCCCATTAAAATGAATAAATGAAACAATCTGAGACAGTAAGAAGAATTTCACACAGTTCACAGAAATATATAACTGTTATTTTGTGGTTTGAAGGGTCAGCGGTCTAAAAGGTCGGGGACTACTCACCTTTATCCAGTTGCACACAGTAACATTAAAGAGTATCAACAGAGACTGAAGACTTCAAACATGCGTAGTTATGGATCTAACCCTGAACAAAAAAAGTAGAGCGTGTATCTGTTATGTTGTCCACCGTGGAAAATGAATCATATCCAATCCTTGCTGCAGGGTCCAGACTCAACAATTGAACTCATTTTATGTGAGGACCAAAAAAAAAGGAAACTAGCCCATGACTCATTTCGGAGCCCGACCCATTTACAAAACCAGGTAACAGAGCACAGGCAGGTCCTCATAAACGTGACCTGTCGTCTCCAGGGGGCTCATCCGATGACTCTTACCTGTCTGCCGACGAGGAGCCAGCTGAGGGCCCGAGGTTTGAGAGACCTATTGAGGACACCACGGCACCCAGCGGCTCGGAGGTCACACTGAAATGTAACATCACTGGTAGCCCACCCCCCACAGGTACAACTGAGAGCATCCTGTATGTTAATTAAAAGACTTTTCTTTTTTTGTATATTTGTTTTTTTTATCTCTTTATTTTAAAATTAGAAATCAAGATTGTATGATTAAAAATCTGAATCTAAGGACAATGTTTACTGAAAAAGTGTGGTAGAAAACACAGTTTTTAATGTGGGTACATCAAATTCTGTTTTATAATTTTTTTTATAAATTAATCTTAAAAGAAAAAAAACCTTGGTATGTTTCTTTGGGAAATGTAATAACCAAAAACAAAGCGCCTTATTCATGCCACATCTTTGAAAGGTGGATTGTGCTATATTTGTATTTTCTGTGGGAGGGTTTTACTGGCTGTTTGTCATCTCTGCCTTCTCAGTGACATGGAGGAAGAATAATGTGGAGATACGGAGCGATGCCTTCCATGTGGTGAAAGCTGAGGGTGAGAGGCACAGTCTGTTGATAAAGCAGATGAGGCCGACCAGCGCCGGCTCGTACTGCGTCACAGCTGTCAACGCAACGGGCAGAGCGTCCTGCAGCGCCACGCTCTACATCCAGTCAGGTGAGACCAGACCGGAGATGGGAGGATATCCCGACATGCAGAGGGGTTTGCTTTTAGATTTGATGTTACAGCGGCACATTTTCACGCACGTAGCACAGATTTAAAGACAAAGGCGTTGAGGCACATGAAAAATGATGCTCTCCTTGAAACACATGAACATGTTGACTCACACACAAACTCGCTTTAATCCACTGCCAGCCCTCCTCCGCCTGACATTCTGTCTTAATGACTACAAAGGCCTGCTGGAGCTCAGCATCCCGACCGCGGCTCCTCGCAGCGATAGTTGCCATAGCAACCCATTAATTCTTAAAAGCGCCCAGCTCCCCTCGGCGCGGATTCAAAACGCAGACCTGCCCCCGTCACACAGAGGTCTCTGGAGTCTTAAAGGCAGCCGTGGCATTCAGAATCAGCAGAGAACAAAGTAAATATTCCTTCTGGAAAAGGTTTATGTTATAAATGCGCCTGCGGTTGATGTGTGTTTATATTGTGTGGTGTGTGTGTGTATGTGTGAAAAGTTCGATTCAGCTCGTGTAAGTGCAACTTGCTCTTCCACAGTTTTGTCAACAAATGTGAGCGTACACTCTGCTACTGTCTCACCAGCAGCACGGGGCCTGTGTTGCCATATTAGGCCTGTGGAGTCTAAGGAGTATTTTTAGCCGCCCTCTTGTTCTCTCTGGTAATTGCAGTCTGCTTTATGCCCCTGCGAGAGATTACTGCTGCAAGTTTTTTTATCTCTCTACATTACATGCTTGGAGTTGGAGTTGTCAAAGTGTGGTGGGAGATTATGAGTCATTTTAGTTGGTTTAGCTGGAAACAGAGTAAATTTTTAACACGGCGATCCAAATAGTGGGAGAGAATGATTTATAGAATACAAAATGTGTCAGCTCAACATCAAGAAGGAGATTAATACTGTTTTACTGTCATTTCTTTCAAAAAAATATCAAAAAAAAGTTTCATAATTCCCAGCTGTTTGTTCATTTCACAATATCATCGTCCTCTGTGGAGTATAATAATCACCAAAACCTTAATGAATCCATACAATATGCAACTTTTCAGCAACTACTGTGTGAGCTTCAGGATGTCAGCAGTGTTAGAGAATATGGACATGACAGTGACGGGAAGCAGAGGAGAGAGTAGAGGACGGGGCTGAAAGCGAAGGTTAGCTGGCTCAGACTGTGCAGCAGTTGTGTAAGAGTTGGCAGGTTTACCTAAATACTCCCGGGAGTTATCCCCTGGTGCACGGACGCTGCTCAGAGATGTGACTCTAGGTAGGTTATTTTGTTATTTTTTTCCTTTTTAGTACCAGCGTAATGACAGAATCAACGGAACACTTACTTAACTTAATAACTCAACATAGATTGTGTCTTTTGGTGAAGAGGGAATCTCTAAAGTTGATGTTTCGTTGCCATAACTCTGTTTTTGAATATATACAGATGTCTACATGATTTTTTTTTTTTTGATCTGTGCACACTAATGATCTGTGCATTTGCATGAGCCTGTCTTTGACTTCTTTCACCTGCAGCTTACAACAGATGACCCCGTTTCCCTTCTTTTCAGACTGTTCAGTTACTTTAATAAGTAGTTTGTATGCACTTTTGTCAATTCACTCTGCTGTTGTTGTCTTCTCAAAGAAGGACATGTCTTAATTCTGTTCCGCTGATGGATTTTATTCATTTGACTGTGTTATCTGCTCGTGCCAGATGTCAAGTCTGAAAGAGAGGCAGGGTGGCGGTGTTTTTATATTTCTCCACCCAGCTGTGAATTCATTCTGACTTCAGTAGAAACTGCCAGGAGTCTAGACACAGTGTCTGCTCTGGGACTCCATGGGAATAAGCGAATGATTGGGTCAGGGATTAAGGGATTAATTCATTATCTGTTCAGTTACGGTCACTTCGGCAGAGGTGAACTATACTCTATGTGAGTGCATGCGCGCGTGTGTATATGTGGGTGCACGTGGCCCACTCATCTCTAACTCACCGCTCTGTGTTGCCAACTGTCCATCTTGGCAGAGATAGTCATCTCCAGAAAGGCAAGCAAAGACTGTAAACATCAGAGCTCTGACAGACTGTTCCCATCCAAAGGTTTAACGAGCCACCCTGGTGCCGTGGTAACCATATTTCAAAGAGATTTGCACTTAATTACTCAAATTAAGAAGTGTGCAAATCAGAGTTGACATTTTCATGAACCCAAGGAGAAGTAAATTAGATAAAGCAGCAGTGTGTTTGAAATTCTGCTATACTTACGTCCACTATCACTCATCTGTTCCTCCAGAGCCAACCCACATGCAGTGTGGAAAACCAGCTGTTTCCCAGGAAGTCAGTCGTCCGGCCCAGTCAGATGAGGAGTATCTGAGCCCTCAGGAGGAGGCGATGGAGGTCGGGGACTCGCCTGCTCCGAGCAAAAGCGTCCACTTCAAAGAGCTTCCATCGTTTCAGGTAGGAGAAGCAAAATCTCGGTCAAGTCTGATCTTCACTTTCATTTCTCTGCTCCCGACCCAAAGACACTCTCTGCGCTATAGAAACTATCTAACTCCTTTATCACATGTTGGCAGAAACAGAAGACAAGGTTTTGGGCACTGTCAAGATGTGATGTCAAATTTGAGAAGCTCTTACCAGCAAGTGTTTTGTATTTTTTGCTTGAAAAGTGACTCAGATGAGAAATGAATCATCAAAGTAGCTCCAGAAAATGATTAATCATCTAATAGTTACAGTTCTTGTTCAAATTAAGTCTGATCTGTTTGTATGAAAGCGAATGCATTCTAAGCCAGAGAGACTTTCTAGGTAACTGTTTATTGTGATTTTTTTTTTTTTAAAAGGTGGCACCATGTGACCAGGGGATAACTGAGGGTCAAGATGTCATCATCTCAGCAAAGGTCAGAGGGCAGCCCAAACCCATGGTTTACTGGTAAGACTCCTTTTCTGAAAGCTTTATTGCACACAGGATATCTTAGGGAGACACCTGAAGCCATTACCTCAGTCAAGGTCACTAACTATTTCCCTGTCACACACACACACACATACACACACCCTCTATTAAACGCCTGAGTATAAACGACTGAGACAGCCACTTTGTATTGACCCAGGTTGAAGGACAGAGTCACCGTAAAGACGGCGGGGCGCTTCGCTGTGCAGGAGACGGATGATGGCACCACAGAAATGAGAATCAGCTCAGCTCAGAGGTCGGACGCCGGGCTTTACGTCTGCAAGATCGTGAACAAGTATGGCACCGAGCAGGCGGAGTGCAGAGTGGAGGTCGTATGTGAGTAATGAAGAAGTGAATCCGTGTCGTTTTAATCCTGCTGTAACAAACATCCTGTAATATTTCTGTCCCATTCGTGTTTTAATCAGCGGCTGCAGCACAAACACTGAAAATCACTAGGGAGGTGAAAGACGTGGCGGTGAGGGCCGGAGAGTCGGCCATGTTCGAGTGCTTCATTACAGGGCCGCCAAATGTGGATGTGGACTGGCTGTCCGATGGGAAGCTGATCCAACCGGCACTCCTCAACTGTAAGATGCACTTTGATGGAAAGAGGTGGGTTGATGTTGACACCATTTCTTCTTCTTTTTTTTTTTTTAAATCAATTTTGTTTATTCGTTAATCAACGTAAGTTGAGGCTTTTTCTAATGTATAAGAACCTGGAAAACTGGAAGTCTTTAATTCTTTAAAGATGTATCCAGACCGGAAAAATGTCAGTTGCTGAAACACTCTGAAGTCTATCGATCTTGGCTCTCCAAAATTCATCGTTCTGTTTTGCTTTACTGTGAGTGAAACACTTATTTTGCAAGATAAATTTAAATATTCTCAAAGGCTGTTGTGTTTTCTCTTTTAGGTGCCGCCTGCTGCTCAATTCAGTACACGAGGATGATAGTGGGACATACATTTGCAAGCTAAGCACTGCCAAAGGTAAAACTACAAACACAGTTACCTCAGTTGTTTAGAGAAGATGGCGAATGCATATTCATAGCTGCTCTTTTTTTTTTTTTTTTTAGCTCTACCAAGTAGGTTATGGTTGTTTATATAATAATAAGTACACCATGATGAATGAACCATGGAATATAGACTGCATCATTTCAAGTTGCACCAATCTTTCTACAGATTTTTATTCCAGCTTGACATGACATTTGACATGTGCAAGTCCTTTAGAAAAGTGTGTCATTGCATTTACAGAGGAGTTGACCTCGAGCGCAGACCTGTGGGTCGCTCCGTCCAAGGAGCCTCTGTTCACCCGTAAACTGGACATCCTGGAGGTCATTGAAGGTCGCACCGCCCGGTTTGACTGTAAGGTGAGCGGGTCACCTGCTCCACGAGTCACATGGATGCATTTTGGTAAGTGTAGTGTTTTCTTGATGACTAACACTGATGGCTTTTCGGAGGAAGTGTGCTGTTTGTTTTATCACATTAACATTTCTTTCAGAGACACGAGTGGAGGAGAGCGATAACGTTCGCATCCTTCAAGAGGGAGGTCGTCACTCGCTTGTCATCACCCACGTCAGCAGCAGCACAGAGGGCTTCTACACAGCAATCGCTCAAAATGTTCACGGAAAGTCTGAATGTACCGCTGAGCTCTACATGCAAGAACCCCGAGCTGCCATCTCCTCTCACATGTAAGAGAAGTCATTCATATGGAAAACATCTCTATGAGCCACCGTGTCGTTTTAAAGGCTTTGAAAAATAAAACCAAGCTGTCGGTATAAAAGTAAGAGGAGCTGTTTTTTGTTTTCAAGGGCAAAGAAAAATGCTCCAAGGAAGGAAATCCCACTAAAGGAGCGAAACTGTGTGACAAATATTAAATAAACTCGTCAATCTTTCAACCCACCCCTCCTTCCTCCCTGCAGGGCCAAGCTGGAGAAGATGCCATCCATCCCCGAGGAGCCTGAAATGCTGGAGAGTGAGGTGGAGAGGAGGACCATGCCGGACTTCGTCAAGCCTCTGGCTGATGTGGAGGTCATTGAAGGGAAAGAGGCGATGCTGAAGTGCAAGGTGGCGGGCCTGCCCTACCCGACCATGGCCTGGTACCACAACGGCAAGCGCATTGAGAGCAGCGAAGAACGCAAAATGACCCAGTGTAAGCAAAGGGCCCGATAACAAACAAAGCTAAGCTGTTTTCTTTTTTGGTGGCGGAGATAGCGAATAAGTTAACGTGTGTGTCTGTTCTTCAGACAGGGATGTCCACAGTCTGGTCATTCGCAGCACTTGTCACGCTCATGGGGGCGTCTACAAGGCTGTCATCTCCAACAAAGTGGGCAAAGCAGCCTGCTATGCACATCTATATGTTACAGGTGGGGGTGGATACTTAGTGTTTGAATTACATACAAGAATTGCCACTTCATATGTATATCTATATATATACTGTATATATACTGTCTATTTATTTGAAAACAGATATAGTCCCTGACCCTCCCGATGGCCCACCAGTGATAGAAGCCATTACAGGCAAAACTATCAGCCTCAGCTGGAAGAGACCAAAGAGGCTTGACCCCTCATTTGGTAAGTTCACTGTGCTTCTTTATAACGATTTGATCCTTTGGCCTGAACATTGCACATTTCTTTAGTGAGAAAGAACATTTCTTCTGCAGATTAAATTAAATTTAACACTATTTATAGCGAACGTGCTTTGGGCGTTTTGCTTTCTTTTCATTCTAAGATGTTTTTTATCTCATCAACACATATTTGAAAACAAAACAAAACCCATTTGTCTCTGCATCTTAAGCTCTTCGACTAAGTGACTAAACACCTTCTCTGCAGATGCCGGCTCCTTGCTGTATGTGGTCCAGCAGCAGCCTCTGGGCTCTATCCAGTGGTCTGTTGTGGCCTCTAACCTGAGGGAGACCAACTACACCGTCACCTCCCTGTCCAAGGGAGTGCGCTACGCTTTCAGAGTCCTGGCATCCACCGGCAAGACACTGAGCAAACCGTCACCCTCCACTGACCTGATTCAGCTGCTGGACAGAGGTACCGAGACTGCAGGAGTCTTTAAGTCACTGTCAACTGTATAAACAAAATCCCCTTTAAGCAGATAATATATAAATGTCTTCTTCTGGTCTTTGTGCAGGACCCTATTTGAGGAAAGCACCGGTTATTTTGGACAAACCAGACATCTTGTATGTCGTTGAGAATCAACCTGCGAGCATCACCATCACGCTAAACCATGTGCATGCGGTTATCACCTGGAAAAGGTTAGTTCCTCTATCCCTTGTGACAAATAACGGGCTTGTATGTAAAAGACAGTGTGCAGTGCAGGAAGGATTTTTTGTGCAAAATAATACGAGTGGTAATACGCCTGGGACTGGGGTTGTGCAGAATTGATGAGTTGTTTAAATCTTTGTTTAAATACTGAGATATTGTCTGATTTCTCGACAAGTGCAGGAAGCTCATTTCAAACAAAGAAACCCCTGCAGAAGAAATCTCTCAGGGGTCCGGCTCTGCTGGTTTTCATCTGGGTTCTGTTCTCAGCAGGGACAGTTCTATAAATTTGGATAGAACATGTGAACATGAGTGTAGATCCAGAGGGGCAGGACTGAGAAGCACTGCTGTGCAGTGGTTCACATTGCTTTGATAGAATTTAGCATGTGATGTTCAAGCACATGTTGTTCTATGTGGAGTTTTGCAGTTTCTTGGACGAAAGCTTTGTTCATTTTTTAGTATCCCTGAGTCAAAAAAATGAACTTTTAATTGTCAGTAAAAATACAAATCTTCACTTAGTTTATTGTATTTACTCAAAATCACTCCAAGTTGAAATCAAAATGGGAGTATGATCACATCTAAAGGCAAAGATGATCCCTGCATGTACATGATGAATAGGACAAAAAAGCTTTGGGGAAAAGGGGTTCAGGTCTTGATTTGTAGTCTATAACTGTGATATACTGTTTTTCTCAGGAGGGGGGTGGCGCTGGTCAACAGACCGGGGACGTGTGAGATGAGCATGCCAGATGACGATCAGCACATGCTGAAGCTCCAGCGGCTCAGGAGCACAGACATCGGCCAGTTGGTGGTCACGGCCAGCAACCAGTTTGGCAGTGACCTCTGCACACTTCAGCTGGCCATGGCAGGTCAGTTGAGTTCAGGCCCAGAACCACTTGATAAATTTTAGTAACAACTTACTACTTTCCCTGGCAGCAGTAAATACCAGCTGTTTGGAATATAAGTTGAGTCATAGCTATTTTTGAAGTAAAGAATCATGAATTTTAAATAACTTCTTTAAAAATGACTTTTAAAATTACATTTCTTGTGATTGCTGCCTCCTTGTTATTGGCTCTGTGTTGTTTTAATTTGAGGGGTAAAGGATTTTAGAATATATATTCATATATATTTCTTTTTTACCTCTTCTTCCACAGTGCCTCCTAAGTTTGAAACCATCATGGAGGATGTGGACGTGCACGTCGGGGAGACGTCCCGTCTGGCTGTTGTGGTTGAAGGGAAACCAGACCCAGATATTCTGTGGTATAAGGTACGATGTTTGAGTGTGAGAAAATGAGCATCTGTCATTTTAATGCTAGAATATCTACAAAATAGTTTAAAGACAATTCGATCTCAAATGTTGTTTAATTTGCATTAATCTCACAGCCAGGAATTTTCAACTGCTAGAGAAAACAGATTGAAGTTAGCAGTATTATCAGTGTACTCCAAAACCTTTTTAATAATTGATCGGTCTGTTGCAGGATGATGAGCTTCTCTCTGAAAGCAGCCACTTCACGTTTGTGTACGACGACCCAGAATATTCCCTCGTTGTCCTCAATGCCCGCCCCGAACACTCCGGTGTGTACACCTGCACCGCCAAGAACCTGGCTGGCTCCAACTCCTGCAAGGCCGAACTCACAGTTCACACAGGTCAGCAGTTAACAGCATTGTATGCACAAACATATGTGGCATATAGACAGATTCTGCCATGTTGAAGGGATCGTAACTCTGTGGAATGAGAAAAGAGATAATACAATGAGAAATAAAAGACATGGTTTCCTCCGTTTGCTAATTTAGTTTAGATTGTATCCAGTTGCTGATGCAGTTGCAGTTGCTGACCTCTATAAGATAGTTGTTGTTGAAAATTGCACCTCTAAATCTGCACCATATGGGTGGGACAACAAGGTTTTTGAGACTGCAAAATGAAACCATCTGTCCCTATGCTGGCACACACAACGCACAACACACACACACACACACCCCCCCAAATAAAAACGCCTGTGTCTGTGCTCTCTGCAGAGCGAAAGGAAGCTGAAGAGCCAATGGAGGACGAGGGAACCATCCTGAGGAAGATGAGGCGTTTGACGGATTACTATGATATCCACAAAGAGATAGGGAGGTGAGTGTGTGTGTGTGTGTGTGTGTGTGTGTGTGTGTGTGTGTGTGTGTGTGTGTGTGTGTGTGTGTGTGTGTGTGTGTGTGTGTATAACCACACACAACCACACACTGTTGTTTCACATCCCGTCACACACAGCATGGGCATTAATGGCTGTTTGAGAGCTGAAGGTGGGGCTGTGTGTGTGTGTGTGTGTGTGTGTGTGTGTGTGTGTGGGGGGGGGGTGGGGGGGGGGTGTCACACCTGCTTAACAACAGTAGACAGTAACAACAGATGAGTCACCAGCCCGAGTGGAGTGAATACATTAGCCGGCAGATGATTTGTTTTGCTGTGACTTGGTGGGGACAGGCATTCACTGTGAATTGTAGAGCAATCAAAACGGCTAAACAGGCAGACAGACAAGAAAATGTGTTTCCCAACAGCCGGTGAGAGACGGTCATTAAACGGAGCAGCCGTCTCAGAAAGGGAAGTCGGATTCAGATTTTCTCTCCTTCACCCAAGCAGGATGAAATACAATGACATACAACGGCGATGCCTCCTTTTTGTCTCCCTATGCTTCTGTAGTAGTGCTAATTACACACTGTGGATCTGTGTAACTGAATTACACAGATCCACCCTTGAGATGTTGTTTTTCCCCGTTTCCTTGTTTTCCTTTTAAAATTAAAGGCTAATTGTTTCCGCTGTTACGGGCTATGTCATGACAAAGATGGTGCCAACACAGAGATTACACCCAAAAAGTAACTTAATTCCCCTAAAAATGGCGTTTCTGTTTCTGCTGATCTCTAGTGGTTGAACTGTTCACCTTGCTACAGTGATGTACAGGTGTACCCCCCCCCAAAGGAATGGCTGTTATTTCTCCCATGAATATAACAATGCTTATGTTTTGATCATCAAACCGGTATGATCATAAAAAAAAAAGAGGCAGGCTATTGATGTCTTGTCCTGTATCACATTCCTTTTTGTACATTTGACAGTTAAATAGAATAAGAGCAGCCTAAACCCATAATGTCATCGCTATGTGACTGTGCAGGGGCGCCTTCTCCTATGTGAAGAGAGTGAAGGAGAAGAAGGGAAAGGCTGAGTTCGCTGCCAAGTTCATTTCTGCGCGAGGAAAGAGGAAAGCCTTGGCCCTCAGAGAGATGGAGCTGCTGTCTGAGCTGGACAACGAGAGGATTCTCTACTTCCATGACGCCTTTGAGAAGAAGGACGTGGTGGTGCTCATCACAGAGTTGTATCCTTTTAGTGCAATCTAATTTTCAACGATAGGAGCTGTTGTTGTACTTTAATTAATTACCCTCTGACATAGGATTGCAACAGAACAAACAATACGAATTATCAATGAGGGCAAACACACTACCTCTCCTGCAGCACTGTTTCAAATTTAATCTGCTTCACTGTCGACCAAAAGTGCACTTAAATGTATCTCAAGGACACTACAGATCCAAAGCATTAATCCTAATGTCTCCTGCAGTTCCCTGGAGGCATGAATGAAACGCAGCACATCTTTTTCTCTCCGACTCATCGCCGATGAGTGGAATTAGCAAGAGACGGGATGTGTGGGAGTTTTGCTCATTTATAATTCATTTCTCATGCACCTCCCGTTTGAACTGTGCAGTCAAGTTCCCCGCTTTGTCTGTTCTTTTCTTTTTTTTCTTTTTTTTTTCCTCAACTCTTGCGCGAAGATGTCACGAGGAGTTTCTGGAAAGAATGGCCAAAAAAACAACAGTCATGGAGCTGGAGGTTTGTGTGCTTCCTCTGACTGCACTGCGCCATCATTATGTAACATGACTTTTAAGTTCATTCCCTTATGTTTTCTCCACAGATCCGCTGTAGTGTTCAGCAGCTTTTGGAGGGTCTTCGTTATCTTCACCAAAAAAACATTGCCCACCTTGATATAAAGGTATCACCGCTGCTTCTGTTATCAAATGTATTCTATCAAGATTGTTTACATTCATATTTTCATTCTTTTATAAGTAACTAACATTGTTGTTTCTGGGTACACCCTCTTCTAGCCAGAAAATATTCTAATGGCAAGTCCCGGGAGTAACCAGATCCGCATTTGTGACTTTGGAAATGCCATAAAATTGGAGACTTCAGAGGGGTACTACTGCAAATACGGCACGCCAGAATATGTTGCACCAGAGATTGTTAATCAAACTCCCGTCTCCACGGCAACAGACATATGGTGAGCCACCTGTTCTCCAGCATTGAGAAGTGACTACATGCTCCAGGCGCTGCCTTGTTATCTGCAACTGAATCAAATCTGACTGTCTGTGTTGTTCCTGAATATTCACGTGTTCTTCATCTGTCCCGTTCACCCACAGGCCTGTTGGTGTCATCACTTACCTCTGGTATGTTATATGGTATTTTGCCACATAGTGTGTACTTTTTTTTATAGTTTCAGCATCACCGAAATCTTAATCAAAAGAATGATTTCTTTTCTTTTCTTTATTTATTTCAGTCTGACTGGTGTGTCTCCTTTTGCCGGGGAGAACGACAGAGCCACCGCGTTGAACATCCGCAACTACAACGTGGCTTTTGAGGAGAGCATGTTTTCTGACCTCTGCAAAGAAGCAAAGGGATTTGTCATCAAACTTCTGGTGGTGGACAGACTGTAAGCATCCCGATGACTCTGTCCTATCGTGTGTCGGTTTTAGCAGCGTTTGAACTGTCGTATGCGGCTTCTTCATTTGCATATTTTCCCTCTCCTAGGAGGCCCAGTGCCATTGAGTGCCTTCGTCATCCTTGGTTCAAGGTGAGCCATCATTTAGTAAAATAGGTCACACAGCCTCAAACTCTTCAGTGTGTCATGGGGTTTCTATTTATATCTCCACTAAGGTTAATAATGACACCCCTCTTTTTTTTGTCCCGCAGTCGCCAACGAACAAGAGCATCAGCACAGCTATGCTAAAACAAGTCTTGTCTAGAAGGCGGTGGCAGGTAAGGCACTGTAGATGACTAATTAGTAAACACGCATTTAATTTGTGAAAATAAGAGACTGAGACACGTAAAGACTCTCAGGGCTGATTCCTCTAGAACTAGATTAAAGTTAAAGGCTTTTTATACCAGAATAAGTCACATTGGATTTCTCAGACATAGTTAAGAATATTCCTTCTTTCACCATGCTCTAAATATAAAATATAATCATACTTTAAATGAAAAGATTTCCTAAAGGAAGATTGGAAATGGTCCAGGATTAAATTAAAGACCTAAATTAAACCTTCAAAGGTGGCAGGACTAACTAATGTGATGCTATCTTCACATATGAAGAGAGGTTGCTGGTCAGATAACCCATATTCATCATATCACAATGATTGAAAACTCTTTTCAGTATGAAATAAAGAATTAAACACCTCTGTTGCCTTTTTTTTTTTTTTTTTTTTTTTTCTTCAGCGTTCCCTTATCAGCTACAAAGCCAAGATGATTATGCGGTCCATCCCAGAGCTCCTGAATGACTCATCCAGCCACGTCTCCATAGCTGTGGCCCGGCATTTAAAAGAAGGCTCCCCACAGCTTTCCTCCTCCTCTGACTCAGATGCAGATGTGGATGAGCTTCCCTTCATTCCCATGCCACTGTCCATGGTCTTTTCTGGTTCCAGGGTCTCCCTTAACGAGATCCCAGGAGACGAAGATGTCACTGGATGGCCCAGTGTGCTTGCAGACGGGACAAGGAAAAATATTGAGTTAGCAAGTGCAAGAGGAGGGGCTGGTAAAGGGTTGAAAGATGAAGAGGAATCCCCAAATGGAGAGAAAGTGGAAAAGACAAAACGAGTTCCCCTTAAAAAAGGATCAAGTGTGGAGTCCGACGAATCAGATACAAGAGCAAGGAGGGCGACCATGAGGAGAGGAAGCTCTGCTGATTCAGCACTGCTTCTCCACATTGACCCAGAGGAGGGAAATGTCAATGAGGCTTCAGAAGCAAGTAACAAGAGCCTGAAAAAGGCTGTTTCTATGGAGCTACCCAATCGCAGCCCAAGCCCCGGGGCAGCGAAGTTAAGCCAGGAGGATTATGCCCTAAAACTGGAACTGATGAGACAGCGGCTGCTCAGGGGAGGAAGCGTGGACAAGAAGATGAGCGGCCTGCGAGGGCCCTTGTTTGAAACACTGGGCATGGAAGATGAGAGGCAGACAAGGTCTCTTGATAGAAATCTGAGGAGATCCAGAGCAGGGCCGTCGACAGTCACCAGAGCAGCGTCTTCTGATAGTCCTGGAGAGGACATGCCAAAGACCAAAGTTTTTCGCAAAAGCGCCTCCTTCAGTCAGGGGGATTCTGAACCCATGCCGCTGCACCGCAGGTTTGGAGCACCATTAGAGATCCCGTCTGTGAGCAATGAGAGCATTGAAGGGAAAAAGCTCCAGGAGGCAACCTCAATGTCGGCACTAACAGAGCTAACAACACCGGAGTCTACATCTACCTCCCCCACAAAGAGGACTTCCTTTGTACTCCCAACACCAGGAGGGGACCAACAGCAAAAGCAGAGCATTGTGAAAGTACACGAGGACATGGATGGAATAACAGAGAAAAGGACCAAAAACCAGTTAGAAGTGGCAGATAAAGTAGAACCCGAGTCTAGATCACCCTCTGTAATTACTCCTATAATTGTGATAGAGGAAGATGATGAAGAAGAAGAAAGGAAGGAAAGTCAGCAGTTACATATTTATGAAAAGGATGTGAAGGGAGAAACACCACAAAATAGTAAACCGTCATCTGCATATGCAAGTGTCATTCAAGCTGTTGCAGGGCCAGTTCAAACATCTGACAAGGCCCAATCCAAAGACCCTTCAGCTACAGCCAAGCCAAGCGGTACGAAGGGCGCAGATACCCCTACGTTACCTGAACATCCAGCAGTATTTGCCAAAGTAGCAACTGTCGACCGATCCCCTGGTTCTGTTTCCACATCATCAAATCCTGATCTTCCTGCCAGCCCCCGCCAGCCTGTGCTCAGATCAGACATCAAAGACATCGACTCAGAAGAGGTCTTTGAAGCCAGGTTCAAGAAACGGGAGTCGTCTTTGACCCGGGGACTCCGAAAACTGACCAGAAATAAATCAGAAGAGAAGTCCCCGGTACTAAACCGGAAGGCGGTCGAGGGGGGTGAAGAGGTTTACAGGCCGGGTCCAAGGGGGGCACCTCTTGAGATGGTATCCAAGGGACTACAGGAGAAATCTAAATCTGTTCAAGATTTAAGAGGAGAAGATAAGGAAACGGGCCTGGGAATAATCGGGAGGTTGTCGTTGCGGAGCAAAAGGTCAGCATCTGTTGATAAGAAGGGTGATAAGCCAAAGGAGGAAAAGCATCAGAATGTGCAGGAATCTGCTGTAAGCAAGAGGGTTTCATGGGCTATTGGTCGCAGTAAGTCCCTGGACACAAAGGAGCTGAACAGCGCAGGGGCACAGAGGCAGCTCGAGGAGAGAGAGCAAAGAAAAGCCGAGGAGTCATCGGTTTCTGCCATGAGACGCAAGTTTGAGTCCAAAGTGGCAGGAATCTCTGCCAAAATCAGGACCCAGTCAGAGGAGAGAAAAGATAAAGATGTTGGGGGAAGTCAGAAAGAGCTGGTGCAAAAGGATCTAAAGAAAGGCACAGATTCCCCTGTCCTGGCAATGCGGCACAAGTTCGAGAACAAAGTGGCAGAAATATCCACAAAGATCCGCAGTCAGTCCGAGGAGAGACAAGGAGATACAGAGGGGAAGAGGACACCCCTGTTTACTCGCCACCGTCATTCCCAGTCGGAGGGGCGTGGGCTCAAAGGAATGGGCATCCCTGAGAATCAGCTTGCAAAACAAACCGGTGCTGGTGCGTCCAAGGAATCGATAGAATCCACGTCTAGCATCCATTCCGAAAAGGCGTCGGAGAGCGACAGGCGATCACGGTGGGACAGGTGGGGTTTGACAAGGGGCAAGAAAGACAAAACGCCTTCCCAACCCGATCTGCCCTCATCCGTCTCCAAGGAGGAGGGTTTGTCAAAAAGCCAGCAGTTTATCCGCTCCGCTTCGGATTTTGCTCCAGTGTTCCACATCAAACTGAGAGACCACATCTTATTGGAGGGGGAACCTGTAACTCTCAGCTGCCTTCCAGCCGGAAGCCCGCATCCAGAAATCACATGGATGAAAGGTGTCGTACTTAAACTGTTTGGCTTTATTTTGGTTTTAATCCAGAAGCTGCTACACAGTTACTTTTTCTTTGTATGTGTGTGTGTGTGTGTGTGTTTTACAGATCGGAAACCGCTGGAGGTGGATGACAGAATCAGCCTGGTCTCCCACCCAGATGGCAGGCAGCTTCTTATGATCATGAAGTCCAGTCGGAGGGACGCTGGAATTTATGAGTGTGTAGCTACCAACCCCATAGCTACCATCACCACCTCCTGTACACTCTCCATAGCGTGTAAGTAGCTTGTTTAGCCTATAGTTAGTTTAGCAGTTCATCTGTTGTTTTATAAAACGGGGCAATGAGAATTGGAAATGGAAAATCTTATTCATTATTTTCAACGCAAGTTCCTCTCTTAGTAGAGGTACATCTGCTCCTTTGTCTTTCATGGGCATACAGTAATTATCTTCATAATGTGATGTATTTTACATAATTGAATCTTAATTGCAGGGAGAATGGTATGAATATTAATACAATTGAAATGAATATTAATGTCAGCAGATTCATTTTACAGTAGATTAACTAAATGGATTTTTTTCACTTCTCTCATATTCATCATGTAATAGGAACAAATGATACTTCCTGCAAATTGGTAGATGTTGCGCTTTTAAAATTGGCTGTGTCAGGTCATATTCAAGACTCCGGTCATGCCTTTGCACAAATAGCGTGTAATGAGAACAACGGAGCTTCGACACGGCCGATGCCGCTCACAAATGCAACACAAATAATAAGACTTTTGAGGCCTCAGTGGAAAATACATTCCTTAGATGTCAGAGGCAGTCGATCACATTTGAACTTTATTTTCTTACAGCTTTGGACATGTAGTTTTACCTATCTCGACCGCTGATGCTATTTGTCTTCCCTTGATAATCTGTTTGCAGTGTGAAAAATATTTCAGACAGCTGATCTTGCCAGAAGCACTGGCTCAACCGTCCGTGCCAGTGCACAGCCTTAATGGGAAATGCATTGTGAGATACAGGAACGGCATGAGCTGTGTCACGTTTGGTTTGGTTTAACAACAAAATTTGAAGCGTTGCCTGGCTCCTTTTTGTACCCTGGGTTTGTCAAAAGGAACATCTTGTCTTTTTTTTCTGACATTTTCATATAAATAAATGATCATACACCATCACCGATTGTAGTAGTTGTAATGTAAACTATACATAATTCATGTTATTCTAAAGAGTGTCTAATAAGACATCAACATCTGGCAGAAAATAGAGGAAAAACTGAACATTAAGCATGAAAAGCTCTGATTAAACATTATCAACAAACAAAACAGATCAGGGTATTGATGATTGAGTGTTGGCCTGTAGGAGTGGCTGTAAAAACAACACCAATTAGCTCTGGGATCAGTAACATTGGAATAAAAAGAAATGTATGAATTTCCACTTTGAATATGTAACATCACCTTTTGTGAAAGCCTGTACAGGGTACAGCTCAGTCTTGCCCACACACGCTCGCACAGAAAGACACAGCTGTGCACACAAGCCACTGAAACCACACAAAAATAGAGCTTTGTACACTGACCTCGTTTGTTCTTTTTCACTCTCCTCCTTTCCCAACCCCCTCTTTTACCTCATTATAAAGGTGTCCCAAAACGGCCGGGGACCCCTGAAGTCCCCCAGACTTATAACAACACAGCCCTGGTGCTCTGGAAGCCAGCAGACACCAAGTCCCCATGCACCTACACACTAGAAAGAAAAACAGAAGGTGAGTGAGTATTGATAAATTCCCTCAGCTCATCCAAATAAATGTCCTAATTTTCTTTTTAAAATAAGCTGTGAAATGTTTTATTTTTACCTGGCCTGTAGGTCATTTGGGTTGTTTTCAAACTACAATCCTTTTATGTAAAAGTCAGTGTGATGTGGTGTAGCCACAGGAGTGAAAATTAAATTAAACTAAAGAATTCAATCTCAAAGGAGGAAGCAGTGTTTGAAAAAGCTTAGACAATATTTGGCTTTTTTACTGTGTGTGTGGAGAACGCTCAGGAAAATAAGTTTTCCAATCCCACAGATGCTACTTAGACAGAGAAAATGAGTCGGTGCACGAAGGAATAGTGACTGTACCAGTGCTGATCTCAAAGCTTTTTGTCATTATGCACGATGAATCATCATTATCTCATAATGTGGTGGATGAAAAATAAAATTGGAGTAGCAGACTCAGAGTTCATGAATATTTATTGACCTTTATTGTCTGATAAATTTATTCTGGCATGTATCGCCTTGTAGCTGCATTCACAATCAGATCTCTGTCAGGCAACACTGATGTAGGTACTCTCAGAGTCGTGCGTCATTACCTGATTTACATTTTAATTCAGGTCTGTTTCATCACGCCTGCATATGAAATAAGATGCTATGACAAATCATTTGTCAGCAGGCAAACTGAGCATTAACTTGTTTTTGTATACAGAACATTTTGAAATTATCATTTGAAGCTTTTGTTTTTTTTCCCATGTGCATCAGTCATTATTAGTGTGACAACACCTCCATCTAGTGTTGCTTATGAGGACTACAAGTCATTTAACATTAAAAGAGAGAACACATGATCAGGGTTTATTTTCAAGCTTCTGTTCACTGTTTACTTTTTTTTTTCTTCAAGACTCATCTTTCTTCTCTGCATAATGTCACTTTACATTAATAAAAATCCAATATGCATATCTTAATATATACTATATCTTAATATAATGTGTGCACAGCATTTGGTTTCTGTGTACACTCCATTCTCTGTCTATAAAGCTCACAGCAACATCACACGTGCTCCTGTCTTTCCCCTCTGCTCTGCAGGAGAATATAAGTGGATGACCGTAGCGACTGGAGTTGTTGATTGCTACTACAATGTCACAAACCTGCCACCAGATGGCACCTTTAGGTTCCGTGTCTCCTGTGTCAATAAGGCCGGACAGGGACCGTACAGCAACTGCTCAGCTCCAGTCCGCCTGGACCCAACAGGTATTTTATACACTGTCAGCCTTTTCTAAGAGGATGTGCCCTGAGTAGATTTTCAAATGAGCATCTGGAGTTTGAGCAGTATTTTGACTGGTTTTATCTAAAACATTTAATTTGACACTTTCCCAGCTGCAGGCGCGTCACCCGCTGTTGCCGTTGTGAAGACCATCCCAACCCCGCCTGAACCGGTTGTCACCTCCTCAGTCACCGTGCCTTCACTCAAAGCGGTCCAGAACAGCGCTCCCAGGATAACTGTCTCCACCATCACCTTCACCTCCACCTCTCCAAAAGATTCAGCCGCCCCTGCTGCGCTCCCACTTCTGACTACGTCCCCATCCAAAATGGTGGTCACGCCCGCCCGTCCGTCCTCTCTGCCATTCAGTCCTACAACAAATCCTTCATCACCGTCTGTGGGTGCGACGCCCGAGGAGGCTCAAAAAATGAGCTCCAATCTTCCCTCTTCACCCACAGTCAAAGCACCTCCACCCTTTGTCCTCCCCAAACCCCAGAGTCCAATAAACGTAGTGACCCCTATGACCCAGACCCCACCCATATCACCCCCACCTCCTCTTGTAACACCACCTTCAAACCCCACAAAACCAGCAGTGGCGTCTGTGCCCATGTATGTCCCCACCACCACTGTCACTGCTCGTGTGGCCCCAACTCCCGTCTCCTTTGCCCCCCAAGTGCTCCAGGCGTCCAGCCTGAGCCCCATCGGTGAAGGGGCCAGTACCCCCACCAGAGTCACCCCATCTGGACACACTATGACCTCCTCCGTTCTACGACAGGGGGTTCCACAGAAACCCTACACTTTCCTGGAAGAGAAAGCAAGGTACTCTGGGAAATATTTATGGATTTTTTGTGACTTACAATGGATTAATTTAACTTAAACCAAATATCAGTGCAAAAAGAAACCTAATGTTGCCAAGCTCTGGCTCATGTTATACATTGTTTTTTTTTGTTTTTTGCCAGGGGTCGATTTGGAGTGATCCGCGAGTGCAGAGAGAACGCAACAGGCAAAATGTACATGGCAAAGATCATTCCCTACAGTCAGGAGAACAAGCAGGAAGTCCTGAAGGAGTATGAGATCCTGAAATCTCTTCACAGTGAAAAGGTCATGGCTCTGCACGAAGCCTACGTCACACCGCGCTACCTGGTGCTGGTGGCGGAGTACTGCACCGGCAAAGAGCTGCTGTACAGCCTCGTGGACAGGTAGGATTCACTCTTTTACACTCTTATGAGTTAAATATCCTTTTTAAAATGACTAAAATCAACGCTCAAAAGTTGCACATCAGTTAAAGCCGTATTTTGGTACACCTAAGGTTCCGCTACTCTGAGGACGACGTGGTGGGTTACCTGGTCCAGATCCTCCAGGGAGTCGAGTACCTCCACAATCGGCGCGTCCTCCACCTCGACCTCAAGCCAGACAACATCATGGTGACCAACCTCAACGCCATCAAGATTGTGGACTTTGGGAGTGCTCAGAGCTTCAACCCTCTCAGCCTCAAACACGGGGACTCAGAAGCAGGAACACTGGAGTACATGGGTGAGGACAAGAACTTTTAATGACTGGTTTGTTGATGTTTACTTGCTGTTATTTTGTGTCTATCTCTTGAGTTTTATTCTTCAAGCTGTCATCGCGCAATGTTTTGCTACACTGATCCATACTTTTCTAACTTTTTTGTTATTCTCACTGTGCACACACATGACCCAAGCTCCTGAGATGGTGAAAGGGGAAGTGGTTGGTCCTCCTGCAGATATTTGGACTATTGGAGTTGTCATCTACATTATGTACGTTGACCAAATTCATTTGTTTCTTTTTATTTCACATCACTGTAATTCATCATCACAGTCATCAGCATTGCATATATGTTGGAAAATTTGAAGTTTAATTAAAGAAAATCATGTTTATTTGTTAACTTTTTAAGAAGTTGTATAACAGTATTTTGTGAAAGTAGGTGACATATTTTACAAATTATGTGAATTTTTCATTTTAATTGTTTTTTTCTGTGTTTACAACCAGGCTTAGTGGTCGACTGCCCTTTGAAGATAAAGACCCTCTAAAAGTCGAATCTAAAATCCTGATGGCGAAGTTTGACCCAGCAAAACTGTACCCAAATGTGTCCCAAAGTGCCTCTGCCTTTCTCAAGAAGATGTTGAGCAGTTACCCATGGTCAGTACCAGCAAAAGTTGGTTTTACACTTCCTTTGAGAAAGAAAAAAAAAAAGTGAAGTTCTGTGTATTTGTATGTGTATTTTCAGGGCCCGTCCTACTACACGAGACTGCTTCACGCACGCCTGGCTGCAGGATTCCTACCTGATGAAGCTGAGGAGACAAACGCTCACCTTCACCTCCAGCAGACTCAAAGAGTTTCTGGTGGAACAACAAAGCTGTCGCACAGAGGGCGCCACAAAGCACAAAGTGCTGCTGCGCACCTACCAGAGCTCGCCCCAGTCCCCGGCGTCTGGGACTGCACCGCATGTTCCCAGCCCAAAGTGAAATGACGGTGGAAATGCTGCACCAGACGTGACTTTGCAGAGTCTGATCTGCACACAGTGAAGCAAAATAACAACTTTTTCCATCTCAAGTCCTCTGTGAATTACCGCTGCATGAAAAATGTCAGCCTGCCAAGTGAGGCACAGGTAAACACACAGGGGACAGGCAGACAGCTGGATATGGCTAAAATATCCAAAGAAAAGACAGTCTGCGTGTTATTTTGGGAGAATTCAACATTCAACACTAATGGGATTCTGAGATGAAACGACAATGCAAAGAGAAACGGAAAGAGAAGCCCGACGTCTGAATTGTTGAAGTTCAGAACTGCTCATAAAGTTTTAATCCACTGAAAGGACACAGGATGTTCTTTGGTTTTCTTTGATTGCACAATTTCTCAGTCATATTGTGAATTTTGAAATTGCACATTATTATTTGGTTTAGATGAACACTGGTCTCCATTCTGCACGATCAGCCACTGCGCAACCTTGTTTATGTCACTAAATTTAGTAGTAGACAACTCATGTGAATGTACCATGATTTAAGCTGCTAATTAATTTTTGCATTTACTTACACATTTTAAAACTCAAAGCCAAAAATATTCTTTTGTTCTTGAAATTGTTTACTTTTTCATGTTAATTTATTTGCATGTGTGTGTGTGTGTGTGTGCGCAAGCATTTTTGATTCACTTCTCGAATTGGCGTCGAGGCAAAAAAATAAAAATAAGGAGTGTCTTTGTGATTGGTGTTAGGATTCACACAGTAAAAATGAACTGTTTTAGGATGAGCTAGGAATTTGTGGTACAACTTCTTGTTCTGTGGTTAATACTGATCTCTAACTGTAATACGACTATGAAAAGCAGTCTGTAATGTAGATAACGTTTTAGTTTGAAAAGTCATGCACACTGGTAAATTACTGTTGTTTCTCAGTATTGCCCATTGGTTGGTCAGTCAGCCCAGTCAGTGCCTGAATCGGATTAACATCCAAAATATTTATCTTGTCAATGCCTCCATTGGTTCTAATTCACAATTGAATTATTTGAACAAAGCAAAAATTTGACTACAATATTTGGACTTTACAAGAACAGACAGATGCATATAGATTCTTAAATACATGCACACATTTATACATGCATACATACAGTACATGCAGTCCTTGTAATAATAGAACGTCTTGTGTATTGCTCTATCACAGTGTTCTTTTTTGTATGAATTTGGACGGTTGAAGATTTGTAAATGTACCAATTTGCGGTGTTTATATGTGGAAAAATTGAAAATGTTTTTATGAGATAGTATGTAATAAACTATTGATACAACTGAGAAAATTAACGTTTCTTCTGAGTGGGACACTGTTTTGGGATAAGCACCTACATTTTGGATTTGCAAGAACCACCGAGAGCTTTGAGAATTCTTCTGTTTTTATAACATGTTTGCAATTAAAATGCATTTATACAGGCCTCGCAGGAGTAAAACAATGAAAGCACCTTTGTATAGTCTTCCATTGTGTGCAAAACTTGGCTGTTGTTTTGCTGAGGTTCCCACGGAACCCTCAAGGACCATTGATAGTGATGCGGTTCAGGAACCTTGACATAAAAGGATACAAGTGAATTGTACTTTGAAATGCCCACATAGTAAAACTGCTTGATCTTAGAGTGTAGTTTTGGACAGTTTGCCTCATCAAGCCCAGGTGTGATTAATAACAATAATAGCCTCATTCCATTCAGGTGTACCTGTTCCAGGAAGCTGCTATTTTGCATGCTGGCTTACTGTCATGGTTTACAGGCACACTTACATGAAACAGTATCAGCATTAGTTAATGTTTTACCCCATGTTTTTCCTATACTCTGTTCAGTCATAATGTCTGTTCCATTGCAAAAAGAGTCTGTTGTCCCACAATGCAATACACAACAAAAATGAATGAGCTGCTCACAGCTGGACAAAGGAATAATTAAGGACAGCTGTAGTAAAAGAAGTATTCAGATCTTTTACTTAACTTATACATCTATGTTAAAATCCTTAGTTACAAGTGAAAAAAGTACATTAGTATTATCTGAAAAATTCTTAATCTTAATAAACAAAATAAGAAGAAGCTAAATCTGTAAAGTAAATGTGGATTAAAAAATAAGTGTGAAATTGTACTTTAGTTCAGTATATATAAAAGTACTATTCCACCACTGTATTTCAAATTAAGTTACACCAGAGTGTAACACAACATTGCCACAGAAAGGAATAAGATGTAACAACTATGCAGAAATGAACATATTATAGTATCTTTCTAATGAAAAATGAAGGGAAAACATTTAGACAAAACTGTACAAGATGTGTTTCAAACTAAGTAGGGGAGTAAAAAAGCAATGTCTACAGCGAGTAGGTAAAAAAGACAGAGACAGCATTTGTGCGACGGTCCCTGGCTGTAGGCAGTTTCAAGGGGACCCAAACTGGGCGTTTCTTTGCGGCTACTCCAACGAAAGGTTTTGCTCTTGAGCAAGTTTTTATCAACAGCGGTCATTACATAATGTCCACTGTAGTGTAAACTCACGTATACATATCTGAAGCTGCCGGTCAAAAAGTAGAGAGAAGTAATTTCCGCCTGCTGTTGAACAGGGCAGTTAGTTTAAGTTCGTGAGTTTAGCTTGCTGTGTGTAGCCTGTGAATAAATAACATCGTTTATTTACTGTTAAACGTCATTTTGCATGGCAAAGCACTGTTCAGATAGCGTAGGGGAAAATATACATCGCTGGCCATGTATATGGGGTAATATATCTTCTGTTGATATCTAAGAATAGTATGTTTGACTAAGTTAATTCCGGTGTAGTTAGCCTGCTAGCTTAGCTAAGTTTTGAGTAACTTTATTTCAGGCTACTTTAAGGGACCATCGTCAAAGTTGTAGGCGTCAGCAGAGGGAGTGTAGCACACGGCCATTCCCTTACTGCGCCACTTTAAGTGAAATGGGAAGCCTTGAAACCTCCATGTTTGTATCTTGAAATTGCGAGCGGAGTTGAGCACCATATTGAATCAAAGTTGCCAACTCCTTGTCAAATGTTTTATAACTTTCATACTTCAAACTTCAGCGGGTATCTGAGCGGACAAATACACCCGGAGTGTAATGGACTTGCTGTAGGCGACTCGTTTTTAGGTTTCCCGGGGCGCTCCAGTTTTGTTTTCGTACAAGTTAAGTTGGTTTCATGCAGCACCGAGTCAGCGAACAATCTCCAACTTTAAAGTGTGAGGTCAGCACTCTGGACCAGACCTGGATGTGATGGACAATCCGTCCTCAGTAATCACCCAAGTCAGCCGGGATGAAGAGGGAAGTAAAGCCGCAGGAGAGAGGGGTAAGTGGCCTTACTTTCGCCCCGCTTTGCTTCTGCACTTATGTCAGAAAAAGTTTTGCAGCTCCGCGGTCACAGCTGAGTCAAAGTTCACGATCAACTCAACTCAGAAACCGCACAGTAATCTGCTTACAGTAACAACACATGACAGTAGGCACGGCTGTGCAGATATAAACACCACTCTTTTAGAGAAGTGAACTCAAAACTTGTTCGAGCACTAAAACTGTCAGTTTTCTATTCTGCATAGTATGGCTGCGGCCCTTTTGGCCTGTGATGAAAGTAAAGGAAATGACGTACCAAGACAGCTATAATATTTTTAATAACAGCAAAACAATATCTTACAGTCACCACAGACCCACTTTAAATCCATACATAATATTAGAGTGGTGTCATTTGGTGATAAGAATAAATAAATGAATACATGCAGCACCATAGCAGCATTTCTTATATATATATATACTTTCAAAAACATCCATAATAATGGCACCAGTATCATAAATATCTCTTGTTACAATGACATTTTCATACTGAGAATGAAAAAATAACTTGTTTAATCTCCTCTATCTTTAGCTCTGTTTTACCACAATGCCTCTCTGTTTCCCTCTTAACTAAACAACTGGCCTGTGAAATTCTGATTTCCGCAATGTAACACTAACTTTATCAGCTCTATGTTCACTAGCACGGATCTATGGCACTGCCACTGTACACAAACCAATGACAAACCACAGAGTGTAAATGCAGGTTACTGAGTAATCAGGAGTTCTGTCAGTCACCGTCCCTGAGAAAATGCTGCCAGCCATCCTCGTGAAGGCCATAATCTAACTTCATTAATGGCGAGTGTCACTTCCAGCCTGCATGCTGTCAAACTGATAGTTAAATTGTGGCTGGAGTTAAAGCCTTTGTTCAGGCAAACTGTACACACAGAGATGCGGTGAGCAGATGATCAGTGGCTGAAATGTCAAGCAGCAGCCTTCTTGTAAATGTGTAGTAGCCTGATCTATTACATAACCCTGTCCCCACACATGTTTATGCATTGCGACACATGGCCGTTGTCTCAAACAGCATGTTTACTCTGCCCAAAGAGATTCGGACGAAGACCACAGCTTGTTAGCTTCATTAAATGAAAACAAAACTTTTAGTTTTGGTTTCATTGTTGTGTCGGGTTGTGTTTTAGAGGATGTCCACAGTTCTGGTTTAGTGGTAGCCACTGAATTCAGACATATCCCTCTACGTTTGAACATGAGAATCTAAACTATGGTTTCACATTATTAAATGTGGACTGAATGGCTGTTAAAACACCTGAGAAAAGTTTCTGGTGAGCAAGAGTACTTTGTCAGTTAAAGCACACTTACTGTTGTTTTGTGCACCTCTAGGACGGACCTAAAAGTGGGGTCAAAGGCCAGGAAAGGTAGAGAAACACTGAGCTAGTGATGGTCACTGTTTTTACAGATTTTTATTTAGACTGATCCACCTGACCTCCAGTTGGTGGACAGACTCCATACACTTATAGATTGGGGTCAGAGTGTATGTGTTTTTGAGATCTGGATATTATATTATATTTCTTTTTTGGTGTTATTTTCTCAGGGTTATAAATGAATAATAAATAAAATGCAGAATATACTTGGGGGGACATTAAAATGCGAATCTAAGACGTTGTTCTCTTGCATTTTCTTATTGACCCATGAATAACAGCGCGTCTGTAATCTATAAATATGAACTATGAATAATTATTGCTTCTGTAACCAGATCTAACACCATGCTGGTGCAGTCTCATATATCAGTTTGTCAATCAAGCAGGCGGATATCATCATTTTATGAAGTATCACATGCAGCCTGCGTGATCACAAACTTGTAAAGCTGCACGAAGTTGCAGCTTGTTGCACATTTTATTTATCGGTTTGTTTTAATATGGCGTCTCTTTTAACTGGAGCAGGTCAGGTTCACTTTTACGTCACTAACCAGTGTGAAAGCTTCATTAGTCTGTGTTTTATTGGAGAGATTTATTGTCACATTAAAGTGTAGGAGCTGTTTTACAGGCTTTTCGTTTCAAAGAATTAAACACTTTAAAATGGTTAAGTGTCTCTGATTAAGGCAAATTTTAAATAATTGTCAGCCTAGTCAACACCACCATCAGTCACACTGGGGTCAAGAGATGTGTCTTAATAAAACTGATTTTGAAAACTTTGGGAGTAAATCAGACAGGTAGGGAAGCTTTGTGGAGAACCACTCCTTTTTGTTATGGGTTGGTTTTCCTTATGTTTTGAATCATAGCAGCTACAGGAATCAGCCAAATCTGCAGCCTAACTAAAGCTCAGGAGTGAGGGAGACATAAATGACCTAGAAGAGGAGTGGAAGCGCCGATTACAGGAAACCATTGACACCGTCACACTTTAAAATGGATCCCAGGCTGATAAAATGAACTGATAAGGCAAAGCATCTCATCATGAGTACATCATGGTCACTGATGTGATAAAATGCAGTCTGAATTATTCACTTTCGGTAAAGTTATGGGACAGGAGATAACATTCTGAGAGTAGGAGGTTGTGTCTAATTCACAGGTGATGTTTTGGTCCATTTAGAGCCACATTTCCTCATCTGTTATTTATAATTTGTTTCCTCAGCTTTTACTTGTGTCAGTGGTATGGCAACAAACGTTCTAATTCATGATTACCTACGGTTTGTTTCTGCCTGCCTGGCTGGCGACACACTGATAGTATTTCTCACTCCTGGTGGTCGCCTGTTTATTTGTGTTGTAGCTTAAGTGTTAATGTCGGCGTAGTCAAAATGAATAGCAGCGTTGAATATGTTTTCACCTCAAGCTGATGGAAGGTCTGAAGACTTTTCCAGAGACTTCCCACAGTAATACACATAAAACGATTGTTCTTTTTTTGTTTGAAGCCAGATGTGTTTTTTAGCACAATGTTCAAAACAACTTACAGTATATTACTCCAGATTGAATGGTAGTTTTAAAATCATCATTATTTGTTGAATTGAAACACTATTTCTTTGTAGCATTTGTACATTATACCTTTTTTTATTTACTTGTGTCAGTTTGTCTTCAGCTGAAGGAGATGAGATGATAGTAAGGATCCATTTGATCCTTTTCAAACACCAAATCTGACATTTGTACTGAGGAGGGGCGCGGTGGTTTTCACTGTGTGCCACAATGTAGTGTTAAATGTCGTAAAATGCACCATGGCCTGTGTTAGAAATGTCAAAACAAACTACAAAACTAGAGGAAATGTTTTTTTCATAATCGATTCAGTCAAGCATAAATACCAAATATTATCTGGTTCTAGCCTCTCAAATGTGATGATTTGTTAAAATCACACAAATAAATGAATAACTCATTAATAATTGATTAATCTGCTGATTATATCCTCAATGATTTGATAACGAAAACAGTTGTAAACAATAAATTGCCCTAAAACGTGCAGACCAAATCCCTCCTCAAATCTCTGTGAGTAAAATGTGTATGTCAGATTTTTCTATGGCTCTCTTCACTGTCTAAGTCATCTGGATTAGAAACCTATTTTAAGAAGAATGACACACTAGTCTGAACATTGTTTTGGCTGCAAAGGAATGAAACACGTGGAAAGTACCCACTGAATAATGGAAGCGTAAATACAACACAAACTTTTGAAGAGAAAATCAAAACACTTTATTAGGGTGACATTCAGGGTTGTCATGTTTAATGATCAGTCAGGGGATATTTTTTTTAGCCACAATGCCTGCAGTATGTTCCCTCCTTGTCATCCTCATAATGGCCCTTTTTATAAATTAATGCATGCTCTGTGTTGTTCGGACAGCACCCACTTAGCAATTTCTTCTGGTGAAAGGCCTGTGATTAAAGGCATGAATATTGATATGAATAGATACTGAGGGATCAAATAAGGACATGTGATTGAAGCCTGGAAATTTATAAGGGCATATGACTAGGGAATGGGAGTGAAAACCTAAGGAGCTCAATGAATAAGAACATGAGGGAGTAAATAAAGTCACAGGAGACTAAGTAAGACCACCTAAACTTTGGATTTATTAAGATCTTTTCTTCTCGTGATTGGTTTAGTCTGAAGTTTTGTGGAAAGTAGGGTGCGTTTTCTGGCACAGATTGGGACTATTTCTCCTCATTTAAGCTTTGCAATCATTCACATTAGTAAAATGAAAAATAAAAAGTCATCTTGATGTCACGATTGCTCAAAGAAGGACAGCATTCGAATACATGAGTAAAAATGTAAACCTGTCTTGACATGAATTCAGCCCAGTATAAAGAAGAAGCTGCGTCATAGTATCACAATCTTGCTCCTGCTGCACTACAACATGATGGCAAGTAGCTTCCTCCACTGATACCCGTCTGTTTCCTCTTCCTGTTTTGGCCTGAGCGCGGCAGAGGCCAGCGGAGGGTCAGACGGGGTTTGAATCCACAAATGGAGTAGGAGGGAATGGCAGAGAGGGAATGAAAGAGGCGTGAGAGATGGACAACAGAGGTTTGTGTGTTGGTAAAACAGTCACGTCCGGACAGACAGAGAGAGCGAGTATGGTGCATGAAGAGACACAAACAAAGTCCAGTGAGAGACAGAAAAGTGTGGAGGAGTGTTGATCAGAGATTAATGGGACATGGAGAAGAACTTAATGGTGATTTGACTTGACAAACATTCGTGAGAGCAGAAATAATCTGAGTGACTGAGATAAACTTTGCTTGAAGGAGATAAAGAACTGCAATTTTTTTATTTATTTATCTTAAGGCAAAAAAAAAGGCATGTTTAGCTGCAAAGCTCTTGATAACTGATTGAGTTCTTCCCCTCAGAAGTTATGAGGTCAACCATTCCCCCTGCTGACCTTTCATGATGACGTCATGAAGATGAAGTCATAAATGAATGACAAAAATAACGACACACATTTTAAAAATTGTATTTAGACGGTGCAGTTTACATAATTTACATATAAAATATAATACAAACCAAATGTGTCAAATGTATTCAGTTCTATTTTTTTCCATTTTAATTTACGCATATTTACCATAATACTAGATTATATAAATGATTATAGTAGAACAAGATGGCATCTTCAGATGCCTGTTTTTCTATCCCACAGATACTCAGTTTACATATACTAGTATATATACTATACTATACTTTATACTAGTTTATATACGACTGAGGAAAGCAGAAAATATTCACCTTTGAGAGGCTGGAATAAGAGAATTGAGGATTTTCTCGTTCCTAAAATAATGACTTTAAACAATTAACAGATTTTCTGATAGTCATCTCATCGTTAGCTGGATTACAGTGGTGCCGACTGGTTTTTCCTCGTGCATATTTTCCCCACACTGTAAGGAATGAGGTTAACGTGCTGATCTGTACAGGTGCACACTTCCTCCCCTGTCACAACCACAGTTCCTTTGTTCACCATTTGCCAAGTTTCTCTGGTTCATCATCTGTTCGGCAGCTGGAGCTTTTGTTCTGTTGTTAAAGCGAAAAAAACGATGAGCACCTGAGGGTAAAAAAATCTAAGTGCGCTGCTTTGTATCTTACTTTTTTATGCTTCTGCTTTTACTGCTTTTAAATGTAACACTGTTGGTTTGTTATTATCATTGTTAAAACAAGACATGCATACACAATACAAAGTAAAACGGGTTTTTAAAAAAACACATTAAAGCCTCAAATCCAACAGCAAGAAGACAAAGGACTAAAGCATGTTGGGATACATGCATTATACTGTTGTTCTGACCACATCAGAAAGTTCATGTATTTACAAATGAATATATGACTATTTATGAATGGTCATATGACATTTGCCCACGTCTGACTGGCATAGTACATTCCATAATAAACTCATGATGTGCTCATGTTGCCTTTCATTGCGCCTGCTTGGCCTGCACCACTCTTTAAGTGTAGTGAAAAAGTGCTGAATATTTATTTGTGGCAGTTCAGGCTGTTTGCTGCTGACATCGGAGGCGATTGTGCAAGAGCTCCTGGCAGGCACGTGTGTCTCTAGCATGGTTTGTCCACATGCAGAAAATATGAGGAAAGCTTTTTTACTGTTTTTAGACACTCATTGACAAGATGAATCTTCAGTTATGTGGCAATAAAACAAACATCATTACAGTTTCATTTTTCTGTTTTGGTTGTTTCTTCTGTTTCTTTTTCAGGCTGAAATCTGAGTCTCTATAGCTGCTCTTACTTTGTTTGCTTGTACTTTGTTTTTTCTTCATTTTGCAGTTTTACTTCATTAACTAGATAGAACAGAAGAATATTAGCAATTCATCACAGTTTCTCTTGTGGCAATTTTGCTTGATTTGAATGACGAAAGTCTTTGAAAATAACCTTGGTGACCTCGTCCCCCTCTTTGTCTGCAGGTTCTTCTCCCTCTCTGTCCTCCAAGAAGCCCAGGAGCAGGGGCCTCTTCTCCAGCCTCTTCTGCTGCCTGTGTCGGGACCAGCCTGAACCCCCACCAGTCAACAACAACGCCCCTCTGCTGGTCGAAGAGAACGGAACCGTCTCCAAGGTGTGTTTGCCTCTGTCTCACTGAGAGCATTTATTTGTGGTTGCATTTTTTTTTTGTCGTGTTTTGACAGCAATGGAGATGCTGATAAAATCTGTGCCAGAGATGTCAGGGTAAAAGATGTATTTCAACTGGCATTTAAGAATCAATTTATTGTTTTTTCATGCTGCTCAAAGCGTTTTGAATTTCTCTGTGCATGTTCAGGTAAATATCATTTTGTGGTATTTTTTAGATCCAGGTGAAGCCACTGCTTCCTCCAGCGAAGTCAAAAGACTCTGGAAAGATCTGCGTGGTTATAGATCTGGACGAGACGTTAGTTCACAGCTCGTTTAAGGTAAGACGGGTTAAGAAAACAATACTGTTGCATTAACTACGAGCAGCTGTGTCCACATCCGGGATTGGTAGTGTGTTCATGAATTTCTTCGATGACGCAGGGACTTTAAAATATGATTTGGGCTTTTTTAAGAACAAAACGGCTTTACAGCACATATTTGTCCCCTGTGATCACATTCCATCATGAGATAGTTATGTTTATTCATAAGAATCACTCTGTAAGATCTATGTTTTGCCCTACCTTGTTGTTATTGGCTCTGACAGTCACATTTCTGTCATTGCCAAATCTAAACTAGCTGGTTCTTAATCCCAAATAAACACTGTCTCTCCTCCATGTACACACACTCTGCAAACACACGGTCTCTTCCTGCAACTGTCCTGTAATAATCCCACAGTCAGTGCTATTTAGATAAGGTTATAGAGAATGTTGTGTTTTGTGCTTTCTCTCCAGTGATTGTATCTGAAAATATCTTGTTTATTTAAACCATCTTTTTTTTTGTGTGTGCGTCCGACAGCCTGTGAACAATGCAGATTTCATCATTCCTGTGGAAATAGATGGAACAGTACACCAGGTAATGTCATCATCACACTCCCGCTTGATAAACCTGGCAGAAAATATTCATATTGTAACCCGCTGTCATCTGTGGCTCGCCGTCCTTGTGGTTGTGTGATAGCACTGCTCTTGAGTTTAAATTGCCGAGTGTAGAGGGTGCAGTCGGCATTTAAGGGATTTGAAGATATGGCTGCTTGGAGATGGATGACATACAGTGGGTCTGGGCCTGATTCAAGTAATCCAGGATAGGTTTGTTCAGACAAGCAAAGCCTATTCCGGATGACTTGGTTCAGGAACGCTGCCCTCAGCCGCCGACGCCGCAGAGAGAAAAAAAAAATGGAGGAACTTCAAGAAAACAAGTCTTGTGTTTTACTTTTGGAGCCAGATGTTTGTGTGTTAGTGATCTACATGAGTATCTTTTATATTTAGTTTCCTTTGCAATTGCAGTGTGTGGAATTTGCATATTTGACCCATTTGCAAAACAGGTCTGCTAGATCCATATTGCACAGAAAACCTTCACATTGTCCAATCATTATGTGCATATGTTATATTGAATACCAGAAGAAAATGTCATGGGTCCTCAGGCAGTTAAGATTTGTAGAAACTTGTTTTATTTTGAAATGTACGCTGTGTAGAAGCCTGGTTTGAAGATTACCATGTGTTCCAGGTGTATGTCCTGAAGCGGCCCCACGTCGATGAGTTCCTGAAGAGGATGGGGGAACTGTTTGAGTGTGTCCTGTTCACTGCCAGTTTAGCCAAGGTAAGACACTTCATAGCTCGTTGCCCAATAAACCAGTGCACTGAATCGAATACTGTGTTTTATACATACTGTTTATACATGCTTATATAATATGTTTTGTACATCACATTCATGTCATACTGTATACACAATATACTGTATGTTCGTTGCTAAAATTAAGTTTATACTCTTGTATGAAAACAATGTCAAAATGTATTATCTTTGAGGTGCACAAGCTTCAATACTTTTTTTTTTTTTTGCTGCAGTATGCAGACCCAGTCTCTGATCTCCTGGACAAGTGGGGTGCTTTCCGCTGTCGCCTCTTCCGGGAGTCCTGCGTCTTCCACAGAGGAAATTATGTTAAGGACCTGAGTCGCCTGGGTCGTGACCTCAACAAGGTCATCATCGTGGACAACTCCCCGGCCTCCTACATCTTCCACCCCGACAACGCAGTGAGTGTCACTGGACACAGCACCTGAGTCATGATGATGACAATGGTGTCCTTGGGGTTGGGCGGCAAGATATTCGCTATACTGGACTTTCCTACTTTTGCCATTCTGGTGTAGTCATGCAGTGTTGATGATAAAAACAAATAACAGGGCACATTTCCCAGATGACAGTGGTTAAGTTAGAGTAAATAAAAGGGGTAGTTAACTTTACTTTCTTCTTTGTTCTCCAGGCTGTTCTGTTTTGTTCATTTTATTTTTTGCTCTCTTATTATCTTGTGTAATTCAGGGGAAAAGGCAGTATGTCACAATATCCATTTAGTTGTGAAAAAGTCATGTTAGTGTCTGTAACAGTTTGAAAGTGAAAATATGACTTTAAGCCATTCTCATTTATTTCAGAAATAATTCTTTCAGAAATCTGACTGTGATTGGAACATCAAAACTGTACAACAAGATCCACATTAGTTAAAAAAAGGATGAATGTGGTTATGTTGTAGGTTGCTGATGATTTTCGCTTTTGTCCAGGTGCCTGTGGCCTCGTGGTTCGACGACATGTCCGACACCGAGCTGCTGGACCTCATCCCATTCTTCGAGAGGCTGAGCAAAGTGGACAACGTCTACTCAGTCCTCAAGCACCAGGGGGCCGCAAGCTAACAGTGTTCGTCTTTTCATCTCAGCTCTGAACAAAGCGGCGTACTGAACGGAAATAAACACACCAGCGAGGCTCCATCACCAGCTCCAGCTATCACTGCCCACCAGAACACAGACTGCTTCACAGCTGACAGAGCCTTCACCTTCCCAGTATCAAACCAAGATTATGTTTGGGAGTTTTTCAGTGACTTCGATGGCGTCATCACTGCCACCTTCTGGTCAAACAGAAAACTGCCTGAAAATTACCTTGCAATTCTCCCCCCATGAACCAGCTCATGTGAGTGAATGCATGAAAGGATGAATGAATGTTTAAGGACATTTCTGCAGTGTCACTGAACTTGCAGTACATTTAACAAAACAGATGTCTGCAGCCATGAATCCAATGGACACAGACTGGGTACCGGACATAGACTTCTCTCATGGACTCGGCAGTTTGACCCTGCAAACCGAAGCAGGTTTGGTAAGCAGGAATTAAGTGGAAAGGAATTTTTGGAAATGTTTATGTGCAAATAAACTTGATCAGTTTTGTCAGTGAAAGAGCAGAAAGTGAACACATACTGTAGATGTCTTTTAAATATTTTGGAATAGCATTACCTTTGTCACACACCTTAATCTTGTCAATTATCACACTATTTGTCTGCAGTCGAAAGCGTGATCCTCGGGTGTGATTTTAGAGGTTTTAGAACAAAATGATCAGGTATTTTTGAATAATCATGACAGTGTTATGGATGAATCTGATTTAATTAAAAAAAAAAAGGTTTCATTAAAAACCATCTGGGATTGTACTGTCAAATATAATCAGGAGTTGTTAAATACATTAATAACTAAATGATTGGACAGCACTTTAAAGTCTAGTCTAGAGTACAGTCCTCGCTTTCACTGCAGTTTAGAAATTGGTTTTAGCACGATTTGAATACTAAACATAGTTTGAAAACTGAATAATAAATGGGGATTATTATTTTGGATTTTGGATTTACTAGTATTAAATAAAACTAGTGGAAAAAATCAATAATGTGTAAATAATAATGTCCTCTTACAGCAGGAGGCAATACAAATTTTTGATGCATAGAAACATTACTCAGTGGGAAAATCAATCATTCTAAACTAAATGTTTCAGCACTGAAACAAAGTGACTGCAGTATTTTCTTTTTTCTCCAAAATTCAGACACTAATATGAATATCAAACCATCCGCCCCTGACAGTGAAAGAGCAGCTGCTATGCTTATCGGTTGTGGATTTCCAAAGGCGGTGCAAAGATTGATGGACAGCCAAAATGCATTGTGTATCTCCACCTGTGTGTTGATAGATGCCATGACCAGTTGATGCCAGAGACGAGAGGACCAGGATCGACTTCTAAAAGCGGGTCATTTGTCATGCTACATCAGAACAGAGGCTCCGTTGGTGTATGATTGGTCTTGTTACTTGTTTTAAAGCCACACTCAAAACTTGAATATCTCACAGCATTCACAGACTGTATTTGAATGGGTAAAGAAAGTTGCAAAAAAGTTAGTTTGGCTTGTCAGTTTTGGTCTCATAAGCTTAAAAGTACAACTTTTTTTTTTCTTTTCAATTAAGCGGTACACATACGCTGGAAACAATTTCAGGACTTTGTAATAAAATGTGTGTCGAGGGAGGTTAGTCTAGGATATGTGAGGTGTTGTGCCTGGTGAGCTGGCACACCTTTGCAAACAAAAAGTGGTTTAATTCGGTCCAGATTTAAAGGAGAAATCCATCCCGAAACACTTTCAACACCGTCAATAAACAGCTATTGGTGATTTTTCTTGCACCTCTGGGTCCTTTGTTATTTGGCTGGTGGTCATATTCTGTTGGATAGACATCACGTAATGTTAATGGGAGTTAAATGATGATGTGTTGTAGTGTGATTTGAGGGTGGAGTTTTCCTTTAAAATCTCAATTATAACAGATGTGGAGTTATACATTGAGTCTGTGCTGCTTTTTTTCGTTTTATTTTTTAAGCTCTATGTGGCGATGTTAGTTGGTCGGTTTCTTGAGCTGGTCTGTTTTAAGGAGCGGCCTGGTCTCTAGCAGGAGTCTCCGACTCTTGTTATGTCCTTCATATGCGTTGACAATACCATGTGTTGACACTGATGAATGAAAATGGTGGATTTGACTAAGAGCCTCAATAGCAGCGTTGATGCTTGATGTGACTTTACCTAGATGGAACAAGGATGACAATTAAGTCCACCATATTAAGAGCTATTACATTATTTTTCTATGTTTAACAAATTATTGTCAATCAAATTAGCCTTTTTCTTTTCTAAATAATTACTGATTTTAATTCTTCTCTTTGCCCAGCAGTTGTCCTCTGATACAACATTGACAGGTTGTTTTCCAGAGGGGAAACACTGTTGTGGCCGTTTTCATGCAAGACGTGATTGGTTACCTCATATATTAATAGGTAGGATATGGATCAGAAACACCAGCAACTGACTAAAAGATTAGTATCTTACTGTTGTAGGCACATAACAGGGTAATTTGTGTGTTTCATGTAAGCCATCATCACATGTCTCAATTAGATTTAATGCTGATACTGTTGTTTCTGTTTTTGGAATTCATTGGCAAAAAGGAGTATTTATAGGGATGTTAAGTCATTTGATTACATACAGAACAAGTGTTGTGTCACTACAGGGCCCATTCGCTGATACTGTACTTCTTACACATTCAGTAGATATGTATATTTTGTTTTGCACAATAATAAAGCAAACAAATTTCATTAATATATGGAATATTCATGTTACTGTACTCATGATTCAATAGATGTAACCTAATTTTTGACCTTTGTTGTTTTATCATACCAAATTATATATGGACTGTGTAATAATGCCATTTTTTCCATAAATGCTAAATGAAAGATGGTCCATGTGCTGTTTTATTGAGCATTTCCTCATTTCTAAAAAAAAAAAAACAGAACAGAAAAGTAGCGTGTGCAGATCCTTAGGCCTGGGGATTGGATTTGTCAAAATCAGATGGTAATGCTTAAAATGATGAGACTTGCATCAATGGGTTGATTAATCAATTAATCCATAGACTGAAAGATAATCAGCCTAGATTTTGATAGTTGGTTAACTGTTTGGAGAAACTGTAAATGGTCTACACTGTGATTTAAAAGAAAATGAATGAAAATAATAATTATTAGAATAATTAATTGCAGCCTTTATATTGGACTATTGTTTGTTTGTTTTTTATGTTGGAGCAACATTATCATTTTTTTTTTTAAATTTCATTTATTTATTGACAACTGGCAGCATGACATAACACTGTGTAGCATTAATTTCCAACAATTAGCTGTGGACTAACCACCTGTTAGCAAACTAGTTACGCAGCTAGCAGGCACAGAGCAACATTAGCATGTTGGTCGCCTGACGAATGTAAGTAAAATATTTACTCTATCTGTATCTGTCTCTTAAAACGTCAAGTCATGAGCTATGTAACGTTTTGTTTTTTATGGTTATAGTTACATGACTACGACAAGCACAAACTGGGGCTAGCTAGTCGCTTGCAAGTAGCTAACTTTTTTGATGGCGAGCGGGTCAAGTATACAGTAGAAATACAGTGTAGTTCAATTTTCTACTGAAGTATTACCATTATATACTACTTTATACGTTTACCATCAAACTATATAAAGTACTTTAGTTAAATTAGTTTCAGCTCAACCAAATACAACAGTAAAATGTTTAAGTGTCGGTTGAAATGAATCAATAATGGAATATGTAACAATATACCCCTCATGGGGATGACTTTTGTCTGAGTACTTTTACTGTTGATACTTAAAGTACATTTTGCTGATGAAACTAATGTACTTTTACATCAGAACCCCAAGATACTCAGTTTACAATGATGTAAGACTGAGAAAAGCAGCACATCCTTACTTTTGGAGGAGCTGCAACCAGAGAATTTTAGGCATTTTTACTGAAAAAAGGCCTGAAAGGATAACGTGGTTATTAAAATAATCTGCAATTAATTTTCTGTTAATGTGCTAATTGAGTAATGGACTACCACATTACCTCTGGGTGAGAGCTAGGCAGGACAGAGTCTCTTTATGACTATTATGCAAAAGTCCCATAGTTTATTCAGGGTTGGAGATGTATGGATACTGTAAAATCTGAACACCTTGTTCAGGATTTTTGAGTGTTCCAGTGCATTTTTATGGAGTCATCCTTAGTCACAAAACATTAAAAAAAAATATTTGACTCTATGGAATTAACCACTGTTACTTATTATTTTAATTTGGGGGGTTTCCATCAGAATACAACAATGTAAAGTCAACTAGGCAAATAAATATCATCTATGCTGTAAAAAAAAAGGAATAACTGGACTGAAGAAACATCCCTCAGGTTTAAAATGCTTAGTCCAGCTTCACTGAATAGCCTCAATTTGAAAAATCTCAGAATAGAAAAGTGCAGGCCATCCAATCACAAGAAGTGGATTTTAAAAAGTTCTAAGGGACAAGAGTAAATCCAATTTTTGCAGTTAGTGTCTTCACTTTCTGTCTTTCTCTCAGAGTCACTTGCTTTTCTCTCTCTTGTTCTTCTACTCTGCCATAACACTGAGTGTGGCGCTGCTCTTGGCCTTGCCCATGGTAAACTTGACCGTGCCACTCATGTCCACACTGGTGTTTCTCAGGGTGAGTTTGTGGATTGTCCCGTGGTTTTCCAGCCGGACAGAGGGGCCCGAGTGAAGGGTCTCTCCATTCAAAGTCCAAACGGGAGGCTTGCTTATGTCGACAGACACCTCACACTGGAAAGACGCTGGCTCAGGCTCCGTCACCTCCATGTCCTCAAGCTCTTTGACCATCAGGAGAGCCTGGGCTGCAGCAGCATGAAGCGAAAGAAGTGTTATCACGGTATGAGAGAACATAGTAAGAAAATAAACACTTTAACTTTGGGGAAGTATTAGAAAACCATAAAACTTGACACCTAGAAAAGGAATTTTTTTAGACACATTAGTATTCGTAAAAACTGATCACACCTAAGTACAGATGGAAGTTTTTGGAGCTGGAGCAGTAACGCTGATGTAAAATTACTTAATCCACCTTTAATTTTTGCCTCCCCCAAGGACACAAATTTCTTACAAGTCCTCAGCTCTCCACCCATCTTACCTTCCACCATCAGTTTGGCTTTGGATGTGTGCTCCCCAACCTCGATGCTGTAGGTGCCCTCATCCTCCACAGACACCTGCTGGATCACCAGTTTGTGGGAACAGCCGTCAACCAGAATGTCCACTCGATCAGAGGAAACCACCTCCTCCCTGCCCTTGTACCAGGTGGCGCTGCAGCGAGGTGAGGAAACGGTGCACTCGAGGATCACGCGATGTTTCTCCAGGGCTGTTCGGTCTCGCAGAGGTTTAACGATGGAAACTGGAAGTTCTGGAGTGAGGGGAAAATTTTTGAGATTTGGTGATGAACGTTTTTAAGATGTTAAGTCAGATATTTTAGATGTAAAAAGTAGCTTACCTTCTACCTCAAGGTAAGCTGTAGATTCAACATCTCTGGCTACAAAGCGGATTTCTCCAACATCTTCAACTTTGACATTACACATCAGCAGGAAGTGTTTGGTCCCTGAAGGAGAACAGCAAAAGATTTGTAGAATCTATTTCAAGGCATTTTGAAGCGGTTCTGTCGGCTTGTGGTATAACACCTCACAAAGACACTTTTAGGTTTTCCTTTAATTTCTCACCCATCTGTATGTTTTGTCTCTGTCTTTGCTCTCTGCTTACTGCTAGGCCCTACAATTCCCTTTTTGCCCACCATATGTCCTGCTACGCACAATTTATTATATTATTTATTGTGGGTATTTGTTTCACAGTCTTATCAGAATCACTCAGTCTAATCAATAATTAATCTTTTCCTTTTCTGACCTTCAGTGCGGATCTTGATGGTGCTGGTGGGCCGGATCTTGTGGCCATCCTTGTACCACTCTCCTGTCACATCCTCCAGAGAAACCTCGCACATGAAGACAGCATTCTGGTCCTCCTGAATGTAAAGATCCTCCGGATCCTGCACTATCTCCAACTGATGCTCTGTGAGGTTAGTAAAGAGATTTAGATCAGGGATATTAGATTAGCCAAAAACAAAGATATTCAGTGTCTTTTTTGGAGACATGTTGATGCATTCAGTTTCTCCCTAAAACCACTAGATGGAGGCATAGTACAAGCTCTACTCCAGCTACTTCACTTGATGCAGAATGCAACATGAAACTTAGATGAGCCTTGAAATGTCAAATTTTGTCAAAATGTAACTTTTCATATAAATGTTAATGGGACATGTGGTATGGTAGTATCTCTTCAGATAATTACCATACACCTCCAGTGAACAGTAAGTGTTAATTTCTCCTGCATCACATGTGTAGGTGCCAGAGTCAGCCCGGGAGCACTGCAGGATCTGACAGAACCGCTTCCGACCCATGGAGTAGATCCGACAGTTCTTCCCTGGCTTCAGCTCCGTCCCGTTCTGATACACAGGAGGAAAAAGACAAAGGTATTCCTCATGAGTTTAAAACCTGTTGCCATCAAATCTTATATTTTTTTCTGCGATGAGCCAACACGTAGACAAGCACAATGATAGGATTTATTGGTTTCTCTTACCTTGAGCCATCTGACTTCAACATTTTGTCTGGAGAATTCACACTCCAGAGTGGCAGGAAGATCCTCCTCCACACGGACATCAGCCAACGTTTTCAAGATAGACACTGGTGTCTCTGTAGGTTCAGTCAATGAACTTAATCAGTGAGTGAATCAACAAATCAGAATCGATCAGTAATGCTTATTTTTTTCTGTCCGTCCTCCTGGACTTTTCCAGGAGGATGAGTCTATACCTAATAATCATTAGCTAATCTAGTTACCTTTGATTGTGAGCCTGGCAATGGTGCGTACCCCTTCAGCAGAGAAGACGATGGTACCTGTATCTTCCAGAGTGAGGTTCGACAGGGTGAGGCTGTGGACTTGCCCATTGGTGCTCACCCGCCACTGGTTGTTTGGTTTCACCCGAATACCATCTTTCTGCCAAATTCCCTCCACATCTGTGTGAGAAAGCTCCACCTCGAAAGAGGCAGTCTCTCGTTCAAAGGTTTCTTGGTCAGTTAGGCCTTTACGGATGGAGATTTTACGGGCTGGATTGGAAGAGATGAGGGACAGTAGAGTAGTGAGAGGAGTGATGTACTTCTTAGAAAATTGTATCAGGATTATATGATGCCATCCAGATATTCAGAAAAGATACAGGTGAAGAATAATTCCTAAAAGTCTGGGTAAAAGTTGGGGGATGCATCTGTTTGGCAAAACTTGATGTTGAATCTCATAATTGCATTTTAAATATAATCATGCTGCTTGAAGGCAGGGCTAACACCTCTACTGAACACTCAAATAACACTGAGTTTCAAGGACAGTAAAAGGTGGTTCAAATATAGACTCAGCTCAGTTTATCACATTACAAAAACAACACCTACAGTAGCTCCATGGTCCATTGTCACAGTGTCATTCAGTATACTATTGTATAACAGCATGGCTGTGTTTCAAAAATCTTTTCACACTTACAGGTCTAGCCCTGCTCTTCTCAGTATCTTTTTGCATGTGACATACTGTGAAAAATGCTCTGCTCTTCTGCTGCCCAGAACTCATCAGTGTCAGATGAGATGCCAGTCAATAAATGACGCACCGCTCTGACTCTGAATAATTCACAAGAACACTAGAAAGTATTTGGATAGTATGTCCTTTAGTTCTCAAATGATTAATTCATTTTTGCTCATCTATCAAGCAGAAATTCAAAATATTTATTGGATCTGTTTCCTCAAATGTGAGGATTTGTTGCTGTTTTATGTAATTGGAGATTACATATCTTTTTCTGACATTTCATAGATTAAGCAATCAATTGATAATCATTGATATATATACACACACACTCAATCACATCCCACCTTATATCACTTACGTTCTACATTGAGTTTGACCTGTGCTCGGTCATGCAGAGTCTCGCAGCGGTAGGTTCCCCGGTCTGACAGAGTCAAGTTGTGGATGGTCAGACTGCGTTTACAGCCGTTCTGAGCCAGTGTATGTCGAGGGCCGGGCTGAATGACCACTCCCTGCCTCATCCACTGAACCTCCCCTGTCTCCAGGCTGATCTCTGTTTCCAAGGTGGCATCGCCAAACTCTTCTGCCATGACAGCCTCCATTTTCGTAATAAACATGACCTGAGCCTCTGAACGTAATTGAAAGAGAGAGAAATAAAAGTTACAATGGCAATTTTGGTAATACACCATTTCCTCTCTTGTCATTTAATTATCTTACCCTGAACTTTGAGGCTGGCTTTGCTCAATTGTCCCTCTGCCTCTGCTGTAATCTTCGAACAGTCCAACACCTGGCATTTCTTAATCACCAAGGTGTGGCATAGGCCATTCCGGGTTGCCTGGAAACGATCACCCAGCGTGATAGCCTCATTGTCCATGAGCCAGACCAACTGAACATCCTCAGGGGAAACCACACACTTGAAAGTGGCATCTTCTCCTTCAAGCACGGTGGTGTTGTGGAGCTCTGTGAGGAACTCAACCACTCGAGGCACTGAAAAGACGTAAGAAAGTTCATGAAGCAGCTGCCGTATGTAAGAAGAGACAGAGTGCAGACATACTTACTCTCTACTCTCAGTGAGGCCACAGTCCGGTCATCTCTGGACTCACAGGCGTACTCCCCAGCATCCTCTCTGGTCAAACGGTGGATGGTCAAGCTTCGCTCCACTCCATCCGCACGAATGGAGAACCTCCTGCTTGCAACCACCTCCACGCCATTCTTTAGCCACTGGACATCTGCTTTTGGCTTGCACACTTCACAGCGAAGGGTTACCATACCATCAGCATGGGCCACAGTGTCCCGGAGTGGCCTCACAAACTTGATTCTCATTTCTGTGATGCAAAAAAAAAGAAAAAGAAAAAGTTAATATGGCTTTTCAGCCCACACTGAAGTGTTCTGTAATGTTATTGGCAAAATGAAATTGAAATTTTAACCTTTGACCAGCAGGCTGAAGTGGATCTGATCGGTGTTGACATCACAGGTGTACTCGCCAGCATCAGAGCGCCTCAAAGGCTCGATGGTGAGGGTGCGCTTATGGCCCTCCACGAGTGCTCGGAAGCGCTCACCTTCAACAGGTGTCCAGTCTTTCAGCCAACGCACTAGAGCACTTTCTTTGGACACGTAACTCATTAAGGTCACACTCTCTGCTTCGTAACCCGTCACAACAATGTCATCCTCCTTGTTCACAAACTCAACTGGAGGTTCTTTGATGTAAAAGAAAAGAGAAGCAACTATTAGGTACCTTTTTTTTATCAGAAGCTTTCTTTTTTTCTTAAGACTCTTGAGACCTATACCCTGGGTCCATACCTTGTATCCGGACGACACTGATCATCTTGTCATCCACAGCGTCACACACGTACTTCCCAGAATCTGAGGGCTGGATATTAGAGATGATAATTTTCCTCAGAGTCCCGTAGCTCTCAATGTAGGTACGGGAGTCATTGATGAGCAGCCTCTCATTGCAATACCACTGGACAGGTGCATTGGCCCGGGACACCTCACAGGCCAGGATCAGGTCATCACCTACCACCATCTCCTGGTATTCTGGGTCAATTGAGTTTCCTACAATGGTCACTGGAGGCTCTAAGGTCATAAGAGGGACAAGGTGAGTGATTTATTCAAGTGAGAATTTTTGTACAAATTCCTTTCGACAATAAAATGAAGTAAATAGATTTTACCTTCTACTGTAACTTGGAAGCTGATATTGTCATCTCCAACATCCAGGAAGTACTCTCCTGAGTCTCTGAGTTCAGCGTTGAGAATGACCAGCGAGCGGAAAGCTCCTTCTTCCTCTTCACAGAACCTTTCATCGTCCTCAATACGACAGCCATCCTTGTACCACTTGGCGACAGCATTGGCTCTGGAGAGTTCACACTCCAACACAATGTCATCAGAAATCAGGGACTTGAGTTTTGTCTTCATCTCTGACTTTCTTAAGATCTTCACTGGAGGCTCTGAGGATGCAGAATTACATGTTGACACTCAATATGATATTATAGTTGTCTTTAAAATCGCTTCATGAGCCAGAATTCATCTCCAAAGCCAACTTTTGCCTCTTACCTGAAACTTTGACCTGGAAATCAATTTTATCATCACCAGCATCGCAGGTGTATTTTCCAGAATCCTTTGGTGTAGGAACATGGATGGTCAGACGACGGATGAGCCCCTCCTCTGTTATGGTGACATTACTGTTCTCCTCAATTTCTTTGCCATTCAGCCACCACTTGACTTCTGCACTTGGCCGGGACACCTCAATCTCCATCACAATTGGTTTGCCAGCAAAGCTCTCTAGTTTGTCAGGTGTGTTTTTAGGACGAGTAAGCGTCACTGGTGGCTCTTAATGAAAAGGAGGAATAAAGTCATTAAAGAGGAAAGAGTCATAAATGATAGAAATGCTATCGAATTTATATAAATTTATTCATCTATCAAGATGCTAAATAATTACAGCTGTGTCCCCCTTCCTACCTGTAATAGTTACCAGGAACGCCACAGAGTCATCTTCAGTGTCACATATATACTCCCCTGTGTCATCCACAGTCGGCATGGGTATAACTAGCCGGCGTTGGGCCCCATCCACCTCAAGGATCAAGTTAGGACTCTCTTCTACCTCCAAGCTGTCCCTGAACCAGCGGACAGGAGCATCTGACTGGGAGATGTCACAGCTGAGCACCAGCCTCTTTGATGCCAAATGGGTCAATTCCAGCTCTGATTCACTGGGGGAAACAATTCGGACTGGTGGTTCTAGAGTAGGAAGAAAAAATGTAACCTTTATTTGACCAGGTTATTATTGGAAATCTTCTGAATATGTGGAAAGCATTTTGGTGATGTAACACCTTTCCAGTAGGAATATAGCAGAACCAGAAGTGAGTACAAACCTGTGACATTAAGCTGGAAGAAGACAGAGTCTCCATCTGTTTTGCAGACATACTCTCCCTCATCCTCCACCGAGCCGCAGAGGATGGTCAGCCTCCTGTAAGGACCCTCAGATATCAGCTGGATAGTGTTGCTCTCCTCCACCTCCTGGCCATCCTTGAACCACTGCACCTTCCCGCTGGAGCGGGACAGTTCACACTGCAGGTGGATCTCCTCTGAGATATAGCTTTTCATCACAACATCATCCTTAGGTTCCACAATCATCACTGGAGGCTCTGTGTTTGTAGATAGTTGAAGCAGATTGAGGCAAATTTAGCTTTCTAATGTAACTAATGTGTGTGTAAATAACACCTTTCATCCTATCTCAATCATGAATTGATACATGTGTCACAAATTTACTACTCAGACCAGCAGGAATCAGAACTGTCCCTGTACCTCGGACATTGACGGTGAACTCCATGCTGTTGTCTCCTGCCTGGCAGGTGTAGCTTCCAGCATCTGAGGTTTCTGCAGAGCGGATTATTAACCTCCTCACAGTTCCCTCTGCCTGCAGAGTGATGTTGTCACTGGGCTGGATCTCACAGCCATCCTTATACCTGGGACACAAATTTGATAAAGACAACTATAAAATAAATGGTATAAATAAATCACAGACTAAATACAAATAAATCAAAGTAGCCTATTAAAGAGTAGATAAATGAAGTAAGTCAGACCTTCCAGCAATGTCTGTTGTAAGTATCTGCAACAAATGAACCAAATAGTACTACAACATGATCAACTCACTTTATCCTTTTTAATGTCATAGCAGTCTTACCAAAACACAGTGTTTATGTATATGTAATTATGCAAAGCCTCTGAATGCAAAGATAAGGGATACTACATGTCAAAAACAACACTTCAAAAAACAGAATCATTAAAAAACTGAATTTGAAAAGAGAGCAGTAAATAATACTTCCTATTCATTTCTCTAATAGGACTTTACTCCCTACCATATGACTTCGGCTTCCTCTCTGGAGACGTTGCAGAGCAGCACCACAGGGTCCAACTCCATGCTGCTCTTATGGAGCTCCTCCTCTGGGACCAGACTGAACTCCACAGGAGGACCTGAAAAAGAAGGGATGGATGTCAACAGCTGGAACACAAGGTACGAGAGGATGAACTTGCTATTCAAATGTCTTTTACCTGCAACATCCACGTTGAATTTGATAACATCCCCTGAAGTTTCACATGTATAAACTCCAGAGTGACATGCGTCAGCTGACTGAATGACAATCCTCCGCATGTTCCCATCTGATTGAATGTTGAAGCCATCGGCCATCTGGAGCTCCTCGCCATCTTTGAACCAGGATACTTTTGCAAAGGGGTGGGAGACTTCACAGTAGAGAACAATAGCATCACCAGACTCCACCTTCTTATTGCTGTCTAATTCTGACAGAGGGCTGAATTTTAAAACAGCAGCTGCAAAGAAATGAACGTACAAATTAAACAAACTCCCAAAACATTCTTCTATCACATACTAGAATGAGCAAGATTAGCAGATTTTAACACCTACATGCAACTTTGAGCACAGCTGAATCCCGAACTCCATTGGCTATGAACGTGACCTCTGCTGTGTCCTCTGTTGTGCGGATGTCACGGATAACCAATGAGTGCTGTGTTTGTGAGTGTTGTATCAGGTATCGTCCGCCATGCTGCAGTTGGGCGCTATTCAGAAACCAGGTTCCAACCATTGAGGCAGACAATTCGATGGAGAAGCGAGCATCTTCTCCCTCCACAACCTCACAGCCCTGGAGGTGACTGCGAATTCTGGGCCCAGGAACTACGAAAAATGCAAAAAACAAAACTACAAGTTAACAAAAGCAAAACTATCAAAATTCAAAGCAATTTCTGTGGCCAATACTGATATTGACATTTTTAAGGGGAGAAAGTTACCTGTTTAATACAAACTGATAACATTGGTTAGTAAAAAACAAAAACAAATTGATTAGTAAAGAACTGTGATGGATTTGTACCAAGAAAGTGACATGAAATATAATAATTCATTTTGAAAATAATGGTAAAATATATATATATATATATAAAATGCTTCCAATGAAACATATATGAGCTTTTTTTCTTTCTACATCTGGACAAAGTGAGGACAATTTAGCAGCGTTATACTCTCTTTAGGTTCACAGTATGATGAAATGCACACAATAACATATGTACAATTTTACTTCACAGCCATTTCCTCACCCAGATGGACGACTTTGGGAAACTCCACATGACCACTTCGTCCGTACTTGTTGATGCAACAGACACGGAAGCGGTAGTCGCCTTCGCATGGCACGCTGTCACCAGTGACCTCAGCGGAGGTGGCAGTCTCTGTGGTGAAACACTTCTGCCACTCCTGGGAGCCCACTTCTTTTCTCTCCAGCACGAAGATGGAGCGGGTGGACGTCTGGCTGTTGGGGGCAGGAACCCAGGTGAGAAGGGCACTGTTGGGTCGATCTACGTCCATCTTGACACCCACAGGGCAGATAGGGGGACAGTGTCTTGAGGCTAAAGGACGGGGGAGAAGGATGAAGAATGTAGGAGTGAGTCTTCGTGGCAGGAGGGCCTGGTTGTTAGAGCGTTCCTCATGGAATCTATTCAAGTCTAGCTTTCAACAATTTTCTTTAATATCACTCTCAGAATGTTTTGCTAACCAGCCAGAAAAACCATGAAACAAATTTAGAAATTGGTGTCTCCTAAAAGTACCTTTGACCTTGAGGCGTGATGAGGTCTTGGATCTCCCTGCGACAAAAGTCACTACCCCTGAGTCTTGATAGGCCACATTGACAAACACCAGAATGTGAGTTTTGCCAAAAGACTTGAGGATCGTCTGGTGTGTCTCGTGTAGCTTCAGACCATCTTTGAACCAGTGGACCTCCATGTCGTCATCCTCCACCTCCACGCAGAAGGCAGCGTTCTCGCCCTCCAGGACCTCCAGCTTCCGAGGAAGCTTACGAACAATAGTACCTGTAAGTAGGAAAAATATTTCATTAATTATTACTTCTCCGTTGTAGATTTACAGTTTTATATCAGACTCACACATTTCTCTTTTAATGATGATATTGAATTATTTTCAAGTAACTTAATGTGTTACTCTGTCTAGTTGCTTTGGATAGGTTACTTTGTACTAACTGCTGTATTTCTGCATTCAGTACATCATACCTTTAACTGATAGCTCTGCAATGCTCTTTGCACCATCAGGCATCTCACAGAGATACACTCCGTCATCATCTGTCCCGACATCATGGATCATGAGTCTTCGCTTGGTTCCTTTCTGCTCCATCCCGTATTTACTGCTGGGCATCAGCCTCTGGTCCTCCAGGTACCAGGCGGCCGGGACCGACTCATCGGGCACCTCGCACTCCAGCACAGCAACATCCCTCTCCCTCACCTCCACGTCTCTTAATGGACGCTTGAACCGCACAGCTGAGCCTGAAGAACAAGGGATAGAGGTATTTACTGCATTTTAAAGTTAACAAAAATGACGGCTATAGATTTTGTTTATAGGTCTCAGTTTACTGTGTAGGTTAAAATACAAACAATAATAATAATGTAGTATAATGACAATACTCAATGGTGGTTTAAACTGAAAAAATATTTTAAATATATGTTAAATATTACATCCATTTGATATGTGCGATTTCTTGGATTGAATTTCCTTAATCGAAATTTATGTGAGGTAAATTATCAGTAATTTATTTTATACCATACTTCTTCAGTTTGCTGGAACATCTGATGCCACCACTGTATGCTTTTGCACAGCTGTTGTTATGCCGCTCCATATTATCGGTATATTAAGGACTGATATGTTGACCCCAGGGCTAAGCTGGCACTTATGATAGTGGCAGCTGGCACAGTACAGGACAATACTTATGAAAAGTTATGTGGCGCTGAGAATTATCTGCCCTTTATGAAGGGATTAGGACAAAATAATTAGCTGCTTTAAGAGGTGATGCTAATACATTTCAACAATGCACACAAAACAATTAGCCTCGACAAGTGCATCTTATCACTTTACAGATTATCCATGTGGATGGAGATATGAGACACACTGACTCATTCATTTGGACCATTAGTTGTTTCTTTAAAATGTTCACTTAGAACGATGAGTGAAACTGGTGCAGAATATCTTGAAGTGTGTGTGTGTGTGTGTGTGTATGATCTTTGCTCTTGCACTATTGTTTGGCATGATGAAGACTATGACTTCACACCTTTTAGATGATTCACTTCATTTTGAGCAATGATATACACCATGTCACGTTGAGAAATCTGTGTGTTTAGCCAGTTAGAGCTGCAGTAAAAGCAGATTGTTTGCAAACCGGGGAAGAATATCCTACCTTTGACGGACAGGTGAACGGCACTGAGGGTGTTTCCAAGAGCGTTTGATGCTGCACAAACATACAGTCCTGTATCCTGCTCTTTACAGTAAAGGACCTTTAGCGTGTAGTAACCCTCTCGGTCCTCAAATATCAGATGACGTCTCCCGGGATCAAGGGGAACCCCGTTTTTCTTCCAGATGATCTCAGGTTTCGGCTTCCCCGTCACAAGGCAGCGAAACTTGGCATGTTTCCCCTCTGCCACTGCAAACTTCTTGACTGTAGATGGGTTGACAGGTTGCTCCTCTGTGAGCCTCGACAAACTGAGTCGCCCGCCCCTGTGTTTTGGTGACCATTGGCTGTTAGTGTGACCACTGGAGGACATTTTACTCTCCTCTCGCTCTGGTACGGGCTCGACCAGAAGGACAGCCCCGGCCAAGGCGTTGCCGTGACAGTTGATGGCTTTACAGGTGTAGACACCTTTGTCTGGCATGCGCGTCCTGTAGATCTTCAGTTGGAACCAACCACCATCTTGATTGCTCACGCTGAAGTGTGAACTTTCAAAGATGTCATTCAGCTTCTTCCCGTCTTTCTCCCATGTCACCTCTGGCAAAGGAGTGCCCCAGATTTTGCAGGAGAAGGCGGCATCTTCTCCCCTGTCCACACGCAGAGACAGGGGCTTTATGAGGAATCGGGGTTTCTCATCAGATGTCAAATCAACCTCTTCTCTTTTTTCGATAAACTTGCCGTTCCATTTGTGTTCTCCATTTATCTCTGCTCCATTTTCTTTCCTGTGTTCACCATTTTGCACTTTGCAGTAGCCATTCAGGTGTCCTTCAAGTTCTCCATTTTCTTTCATCGGCTGATTCACACCATTGACCCCTAATTGCCTTTGTCCCCCGTCCTGCGGTTGGGCCTCTCCTTCCACTTTGAGGGAAGCTGCTGCATATGTTTCACCTATGCTATTTCTAGCCTTGCATATGTACTGGCCAGCATCCTCTTGGGTCACCCCAGTAATGGTCAGCAGGTAAACTTTTCCCTCCTCTGACAGCTGGTATCGTCCCTCGGACAAGATCTGGACATTTTTACGCTCCCAGATCACATCAGGACGAGGGTCCCCACCAATTTGGCACCTCAGTGTGGCATTTGTGCCACACTGTGCCACCACAGGGCGCGGGTAGCCCAAAACACGAGGAGCACCTCCGAAAATATCCATGATAATGTCACACTCTCTCTGGTTTGAGTGAAATAATTTCTTTTGTTGTGGGATTGCTTGGAAATGATCCCCTTATCTATGACGAAGGAGCTGTGTGACAAGAAAGTAATCAACTTCAATAGAAAGACAGAGTCAAACAAAATCTTTACATTTGCAAAACTTGTTTTCCTGCTGCTGAGACATTGTACTCTGTACATGTCTGTTTACAGCTGACCCAAGCCAGATGATTGCATATCAAATGTGAGATATTTTTAAAAGAAATTTTATGATCAGGAATCTGACTTAGATGATTCAAATCAAAGAAGACCGTATCGAAATGTTCCATCCGTCAAAACACGCAGTGTAGTTAGCAAAGCTGAACTGAGGTTAACGTGTTAAGGAAGGTGTTTATCACGTTCAGTGGTTTAGTTAAGTGGGTTTTGAGCAAACGTAAACCACTCTCGGTTCTCTCACACCTGGTGCTGTAACTCATTGAAGAGTGTATTTATAAAGTAGTCTATCCAAAAAAAGACTCCAGAGACCATGTGTCACATAGCACACAAACTGTGCAGTGACACACCTGCAGTCACTAACTAAGACGAAACTGAACCATATACCCATGCATGTATAGAGCATGTATGTCAGCTGTATCCTCCCTGATGGATTTTCTTTGTTTCTGGATTCTTGCATTGTTGTCATGTTGTCTACATCTTTAAGGTTTAGCACCAACCCAAGCTGTTTGTTATCTGGAGCTAAGTTCCTCTTTCTAACATTCTAACAGCTTTTGGTTTGATCTGGGAGCATCCAGGGGAAAATGTTACTGTGGCTCATTTGCTTCCCTCATGTTGTCACCATCTTTCTTTTGGCACACCATGACACACCATGCTCTCGTGTCTAATGCACATCCTCTAAACAGCGTGGATCATATAGTGTAGTGTAGTGATCATGTCTGGAAAATAGCTCTTTGTGTAGCATGTCAGATATTTCTAAAGACTTGTGATCAGTAAATGCATGAAACAGACTCGGCTTCCCTTTAAGCATTTTGCTGGCACATGGAAAGAAATTATTCTACTTACATGAAGCTGTGTCTAGAGAAACAAAAGAACAGTTAAAGGATAAACTTACCGCTCCTATGAGTAGCTCTCTTTAAAGCATTCTGTCACTGTTGTGGTGTTTACTTAAAGATGATGTCCTCAAAACATATGACCCTTGACCCTTCCTTCAATTATTCTTTGACTCATAGAAATGGCCGATATTCGTTCTGTTGCTCTGTGGAGCAGTCGCGCAGCTCTCTGAGACTTCTGTTCCTTGTCTCTCTGGATGGGTTTGTGGTTTGTAGGTTCTGGCTCACAATCGACACACCTCCTGTTCACTGAGAGTCAAAGCAAGTTAGAAAAAGTAGATCTTCCATTCACAATTGGTGGCCCATAGTCACAGGTATCACGTCTTGGTTGTGTCCGGCGTTTTGGTGTTAGGTTGTAGGTGGCAGAGAAGAAAATGACCACAGTCTTTCAGTCAAGTGTTGGCTTATGCGTCAGCTCTGATGCTGTCATTGTCCAACAGTACTAGAGTGAGAGAAAGAGAGAGAGAGAGAGAGAGAGTTGGAATGGAGGGCGGGCAGCATTAAATGCTTTCACAGCTGCTGCCACTGCAAGCCACCACCTAAAAATACCGGCAGCTTCGATGACAGTGGGCCAGATAAAGTTAGGCTCTCCATTCACAGACCGTGGCTCACTAAAGATAGAGGGGAGGCAGAGGTCTGCGATGGATCACACAGCTCAATAGATATCCTTACTTAAACCTCACAAGAGAAAGGACACCCCGCCTGCCGGAGCTCCTTAAGTCATGAGTCACGCTGGCCCGTAAATGGGGTCAGATTAGTCTCACATAAACTACTGTTTGAAAATGTATTTTTAATTTAAATAAATTAAAGTATCTAAATGTTCAAACTGTTTATCCATTACCTTTCTGGTTTGTAAAATGTTCAATTTTCAAAATTAGATAATAAAACAGTGTTATATTTATTATTATATTTAATCCTCCAGGAGATCACTTGCTAGTTTTGCTATAGATCCCCAAACAACATCATTTTGAAGAAAAATCACACTTTGTTCGAATTGCTCATAACCTGTGACAAGGGGTCTCAACTAGATTTTGTTTGGAAACCTCTTAAATAACTTCTTTCAGGGGACCTGAGGACTTGAGAACTATGTCAGTAGTTCAGTCTGAAATAATTCGATTCAGAAATAATGTTAATCTTCTTCCTCAAATTACCATAATCATATTTTGACTACTGTAAACTCGCAACTGCATGACATCCAGATAACGTTTATTATTATTAACTAATGAGCCTATGCTTAACTTTTCAAACCTCTGTACTAGATAATATTATTATTTGAAAGTTAGACTTGGAAAAAACCCTTCAATGCAAACCTAAACTAGACCTTTGGATGTTGAAATTCCCTTGATAGTTTGACTGTCCTCACAAATTCAAAAATGACTTGCAACCTGAGGAATGTCCAGTTTGCTGTGCACAACAGCAGGCAGTCACATAATGGCTTGTTTAGCACATAATACACAAAGTTTAGCAAAGTTTAGGTTTAATGTCTTATCAGCACTTAAAAGTCAGAGGGAAAAAAATATAATACAGCCGACATGCTTTGATAGTGCAGGTCCAAACATGTAGCTGAAAAAAATTAACTAATTATGAATGGATGGAAATACAAATTAAACCCATCTGACTCTGTGAATGATGCAGGACTCCTTTGGCTGAGTCAAAATGGCTCATCAGTCCCAGATTCATCAAAATCAGACAGTTAATGAGTATTCAGAATTTATCATATATTTTTTAGATATAGTGTCCAATTCCAGTACGCTTTGTGCAAGAATGAGTTGTATCTAAAATGTATGTTTTTTTAGATATTGACTGTAAACCTTCTCCCTTTGTGATATATTGTAAAGATAACTCGGTGTGTATAGTGCATTTTATGTAAATTTATCATTTCTACAAGCTGCCACACCAGTGGTATTTGAGATATCAAAACCAAAGTATATTCGGACACGTATCCAAAGCATTTAACATTTTTTCCCTTTGCGCTTTTAACAATTCCCTCCTGTTGACACTTGTTGCCTGCATTCTCAGACAATGGCTCTCTAAGTTATCTCCTCAAGTGGAGTGTTTCGGACAGCCAAAGCCACTGACACACACTGCAAACTGTCGTCATAGATATTTTGACATTCAGTGCAGGTCGCATAGCTTCGACCCCTTTGTGACGGCCGCTGACTTAACGCACTTGGCATACCATCTCGAGCATAGAAAAGTTCCTTAGAGCAGAAATAGAATGAAGAGAAATCAACATTGGAGTAATTCTTGAGTTAAAAGTAACAAATGATGTCTGCTAACAAGGATGTGTCAGTAAACAATTTGCTAAATGTATAACAGAGTCATTTGGAGGACTCACACCAGAGTAGTGGCTCCATTTAAGGCTGCTGGTACCTCTGACATTCTCATCCCTGCAGTCATCCCTGCAGCTGTTAGGTACGATGACTGCACCAGGAATCAGTGCTGCTCTTTGTCCTGAGATTGGGTTTCAATATCAAAAGCTGAAGAGGATTGGCAGGGACCAAAGGGTTCTTAATTGTGTGTCAGTCAACCTAGTTTCAAATCAAGGAAAGCTTTTTGTGTTTGTCGTCAAGCTCTCTTCACCCCTCATGACAAAACCACATCGCTTTGGAGGTTTGGTCAAGGCTAAGGAAATTTGAAATTTCATTTAGAGCCACATATACAGTGTTTAACACCCTAAACTGATCCTTGGTTCAATGATCAAACGATAGAAAAACAGCCCTGGATCTAAACATGATTATTGTGCTTTGAAATTTTTTCATATGCTTGTGTAAAGCTGAGGAAAATGTACCTTACGTGGCTTTAAAGGTGTCCAGGTGCTGACAGACTGAGTGGTTTAATGTAAGCATGCAATCCGCTGTATCTCTCAGGTCAAGGCTGTACTTTTTAAACAAGCTGGATTGAGATCAAGTTTTTGAAAACTCACATTGCTCGGTCGGTCCACCTACATACCACTGAAAGGAAACTGTTTATTTCAGCTGGCACCTGTGGGCAAGCAACTGTTAGAAAGAGATTTAATAACGGTTAGTTGCTGTAGATTAAATCTTGTATCCACATGGTCGTCACCCTGGTGGAAATCAGGCTGAATATGAGAGAAATGTCCCTTTAAAATTGCAGGTAAATATGTCATAACATTAATGTAAGTATAGTGAAGTATAGTGAAGTTTTAGTGTTGCAATGCTTGTGAACTGTATTCGTGGTGTACAGCAACCAAGAAATGACTCCACATGCTACAATTCTTCCTTAGAAGAGAAGATGATTGAGAGTCTGTTCCTTAAAATGTAGTTTGATTATGAAGAAAATTAAAAATCCAAAAAGTTCTGTGCTGACAGTGCTCAACACTAGATTTAAAACAGTCACTCAAACACACACAGATATTCAGTGCAGAATAGGTGACTTGCACAATATTGTCCAATAGATGGAGCTACAGATACATTTTTATTTTTATTTTAACAACGAATCATTGGAAACTGACACAAAATTAATTCATGGTAAACTCCACAGAAAAGGAAATAGATCAACAAGGTTTATTCTTTAAGCCATATGACTCTGACCTCTGACCTCCCTGAGGAGGAGGAGGAGGAGGAGGAGGGCAGGATAATCACATATCAATAAAGTATCAGACATTTCTATCTTAAAATACAAGTGATCTGGTCAGAAAAGGTATAATTTTACCAGCAAGGCACCTCTGTGACCGTTTGTCCTTAAAGAAGAAGCATGACTGAATTTAACTTTCCCAAATCGATGTCTCATTGTAGAACTGACATCTTCAATAGCGTTTGTCATTTTGATCTAATTAAGAGGGAAAGTCTGGCCATTTTATTGGAAATGTTGTTAAAGCATCTTGGTCCAAGGATGAAACGCTGGTGACCCCAGAGACTAGAAGAAGCGTGTCTAAGCTCACGTACACACTTGAAGGCAGAGCCCCGTCCCTCCATCTTAAATTTGATCGCGGCACTGAAAGAGAAGAGTGAATGTATACTGAGAAATAAACAGAGGAGGTCGTGAAGTGGTAGATGATAGAGGGATTTGCGGAGAGGAAAAAGAAAGATCAAACATTTTTGTCTAGTGACCTCTGACATCTTAGCTCCTCCTCTTTCTCCCTGCAACCTGAAAGCATGCTGGGAGCAACAACAAGGGATTCTGGGAAAGACAGGAGGAGGGCTTTTTTTTTTTTATACAAACAACATCTGTGTGTATGTGTGTGATAGAGAAGTACATGTATTCAATCACTGGTTGTTTTTTTTTTTTAAATTTTATTATTAGTTTTTCTTTTTCTCCTGAGAATAATTTTAGCTCTGATTCAACATTTGTCCCAGATTTAGTTGTAGTGGATGTTAAAGCAGCTTTTTCAATTGGAAAATTTAGTGTCCTTGTTTGGCCTGCTTGTGGGAAACTGACATTTTCCAGCTGTGGAGACAGGGGTCCATGGAATATACTAGTTACACTTGGCTGACTAACAGAAAGCTAAATAAAATCAAAGAATCAATCAAGTATAGGGTGAATCCAAGAAAATAACATCTAGATATTAAAGGCCTCTTGTGTCCTGGCTCTGGTTTTGTAATTAATGAACAGATACTTAAATGAATGAGCCTGGTATCACTCTTTTCATATAGGTTCAAGCTTTATTCCCAAAATGTCAAACTATTCCTTTAAAGATGTCATCAATGAGCCACATCATCACACTGCGTGAAATGTTTCTTCTTTATCATGAGCCGACGAAATACACTGTGCTGTTGTAAATTCTCAGTAGTATGCTACATTTGTGTTAATCCGCAACTGAAAATAGTCCCCAACAAATGCACTGTACTACTGTTTGAATATCATTTGCTAAAAGCTACAGTGCCCAGCTGTAGGATATTACTGTGAAGCAGTTATATATAGAATAAGGCCAGCTTTATCCTTTAACCATAGCAGCCGTTATTTTCTGCCCTTGGATGCTTTGACAGGAAATATAACTGTCATCAGGATCAAACATGTGACCCTCAGATTATAGGACAGTCTCTCTAACCAACAAGACCAACAAGTCAACACTTCAGTTTGGCTGGTTTATTCATGCACGAAGGACAGATCTGGTGCAGGTTACACCAAGTCTCTCACTGAATGCCAAAACTTTTACCGCTTATATCGTATTTTGCTCTGGAGGATGTCACTTACAACTGTTGACCTAGAGACCTTTACCTCTGTGTGTCACTTTTCTAACTTCCAACCCCACAAAGGGGTGCATATCTAAAGTCTCTGGCAGATGTAGATAAATCAACGAACAACAATATAGCTATAAAACCCGGATTTGCAATGGATCCTTTGGCAGTTTACCGAAGGCAGACATTCCTCACATCC